TGCAATTAGTATTGTGTAGTTAAAAGACAAACAATTGTAACATATTGATCATTAAGCTTTTTTTAAACTGTCAGCTTAAGCCTAACGATTCGTGATCATGAAATACTCAAAGGTTATCAAACAAGATTTCATCACAAACATACAGGTACACTTTTGGCATTAAAATGAATCTTTCATGTGATGTTTTTCATTTTCGTTAACAGGGAAATTGCGACAAAACTCTTGGAAATCAATTGATAACCGAACTTCTGACGCACAGCACAACTTAATTGCGCATAAATTATCATATATTTTCCAATTTGATTTTTTTGTTTACATACAAATATGCCTTTAGCAACAGGCCATATTGAAAATTAATCTCAATCGGGTTTTTAAAGTACGACTTAAGGAAATAACAATTTACAGGTAGGAAACATATGTTTGCTTTTCCAGTAGTACAAACAGCGTTTTACAATTTTTTTTATGGATATTTCTCTAATTCGTCCAAAAAAAGGAAGTGAAAATCGAGGTGCACTAAATTTAAACGGAAAAGATATGGAAGCATTTTTCATATCTCGAATATAAGGACAACACCAACCAATATTAAAATAAGTTTTCGTCGGTTTTGATGTATCGACGATCTAATTTTTTTTAATGTACCAAACAGCGCAGTTTGAAAACATGAGGATTTTTTCACAAGGAATAGGGAACAAGGTAAAAGAGTTCTTCATTGTGTACCAACAGTTGTAAACCAGAAGAAATCCTTTCGTGATCATTTCATATAATTGAAAGTTTTTGGATAATTGCTGAAGAAAAAATAATGCTAATTGATTGGAACTCTCCGATAAGGAACATAAAAGACTTGAGCAATTGAGGCTTAGTTTTCCGAGAAACGAAAACTTTGTCAGAGCCATTATAATAATTGTATCTTCTCTTACTTTCTTAGAGGTTTGCACGTCATGCTAATGACGTCATTTTTATGTCAGTTTAATATCAAACCTGTCAAGTAATTGAAAAGGAACAATGTATGTCCTTTATAACCTACTTCTACCAAATCAGTCTTTCTTCTGTCACTAAGCAATGTTGCACTGGTCAGTCATTCTATCAAAACAAAGGTTGTTCTAACTTCATTTTAACACTACGAGTAATTAATTATTTTTCAAGGTTTTTATACACAACTTACCACAAAATTTATCAAAGAAAGCTAGTAATATTCCTTTCCAAGTACTTTTCCATATTCTTACCAGCAAAGCAACAAGGAAGGATTTGCTAGGATTCAGCCTTTTTCTAACTTTTTCAGTTGATATAAGATGATGAACTTTTTCAAAATAGCAAATGGTAAATTGACCTCTTGATAGCGAAAAGGATTTATTTCACTTCTCATCACAAATATATCCACAAAATGTTGTTCTCATAGGAATCCGTGACAATACGTAAGAAATATAGTACAATGTGAGATATTTACAACAAATTAATCAGAAATAAAGTTTATAATGGTTCCTACTGTAGGTTTTTTCATTTAAAGATATCATATCATTACATACATAGGATACTATGATGCTATCTGTTGAATGAATCGTTTGTAGCTCATTTATAGTTAATGTATTTTAAAGCCTGAAAACTTCATGGGGCACTTACTTTAGCCTGAGTCTCTCCTAACTCAAAACAACTTACCATACACAACCGGAGATCAATTTATTATCTCATTCACAGCAGGACCAAGACAGTCAGGTCATTTTTTGTTTTGTTTTTTTTTTGTTTTTTTTTTTTGTCAAAGATGCTTAGACTGATTTCTTTTCATCTTCAGATTCAGAAAAATGAAGACAAAAATGAATAAGATTCAGTTTTTTAGTTGTCTGTAGCTGAATTTCATTTAGTTAAACCCGGTTTAACTTGGCATGTTTTGCTGGTGTGATTGGAATACATTTTGTTCTAAAAACACTGGAGCTTGATGAACCCTAAGCCTTGAGTATGTCATTTAATCTGGAAATACCCAGGGGCATAGCCAGAAGGTTCGTAATTATTCTTAATGTTTTCATAGGAGGTCTTTAACTGAATGAATTGTTTTATATAGCAGAAACATTTAGTTTGGAACTAGACAGCTCTTTGACAGCATACTTTGAAGATGAAAATTCTCTGAATTTCCTGGCGACTCCGGTTTTTCGTCTCTTATTCAGTCAATGGTTGAAATAGTTTATTTTATAAGCCACAACGCGTTGGTCTGAAACATAACGAAAGATGGGTATTGATTTTCAAAGCACATTATTCGTGCTCAATTGTTTAGTCTCCTTTATATCTAACATATCAACCTTCACAGCAAGAACTCTCTTTCAACTGTAGCCAATAGCGTTGCGCTATTTGATGGGAACATAAATAACAGCATTTTGAACTGAAAGGATCTTGAAATCGAGCTCTTAAGATAGAGTTATCGGTTTCCTTTGACTACCAGGTTACCGGAGGTAAAAAGCAATTAAAACTTCATTTATCACACAACGACAAGAAGCAGATGGAATGAGACCTTTCTGTCATTTTCAATAAACTAACGATCGAAGGAAACAAACCAATTTTACAAGATGTTGTTCAGAGTTTGAGAGGTATGTTCATCTTTGTAATTCTGACTATGTAAACTTTGCTTCAAGATTTGTATTTTCAATAATTTCCTGTCCGTGACTTGATAGAAAAAAATTAATCAGTATTTTCATTTATGTGAACTCCTAGGGCCAGAAGACATTATAATTTACATAGAAGTCAATGAGTTATGTTTTTTTAAGTTTTAATGACTGAAATTACTTGGCATGTTTATTTTATCCATCTTTGTTTTTTCAAGTTACTGCCGTTTTAAACGACCGACTGCATTAGAGAAAAAAATAGCCAAAAAATTGATGGGGTTGTCGACTGATTTATCGAGGATGTAGGACGAAGAAATTTTTCGAGTTTATTCTGAAGATTTCAACTCTAACACCTTCCAATTTCGCGATAAATACTCAAAAAGGTAAAATACAAAAGCTTCGCTGGCGAATTTTAACATATGCCAGATTCAAGTTCATTTATACTGTCCATATAATATCAGCGCTTTTTATTTTTCGCCGAAATGGCTTTATACAAAATTTAAAACCACGTTTTACCCCGTTTACTTCACGGGCGGAATTTTTCTCATGGCGACTGAAGTCCTTTAACCATTGTTGAAGAAATGAAACGAAAAAGTCTGTTCCAGGCCTCTTCTGTTTCCTTTGTCCATTGGCTGCGTAGTAAATCTTTCAAGTTGTACATCAGTGCTTCCTGCATTGCCTAAAAATATAAATGAAAATCGATAAGATATTTTATTATTAGTGATATTAGTAAGTTAGGGATCTGTTGATGGTTCCTGTTTTCGCGAAGGGTAACTGATGATTACATTTTCTTTAATCATTTACACCCCAACATCAGTTTTCATATTCTCCATATTGTCCTCTAAACATTTACAAAGGTGCTGACAAGGAGAATTTGTTTAACAATGAAGGGCTTATTTGGCTGGTGATCATTTTCTTTATTCTCGTAACTCAAATGCCTGATTCAGTGGTGATATTGTAAGGAGAAATTAGACGCTAGTCACCCTTTGGGGTTAAAAGAGTTAAATGCTGAAGCAAATTTGAGTTATGTAAAGACATTTCAACTGAACGTAGCTAAACTTGGATTTGTTTACATTTAAAATGATTCTTTTAGTAATATTTAATTGAATGATTTTTTTTTAGTTTTGCCCTGAAATTACATACATTACACGCGTCAAGTAAAACGATCAAGCTAGAGAAAAGATAAGTGTTATTATATTTGTTGATGCCATTGATTGGCGGAAGCTCGGATTCTTAACTCTTTATATTGATCAGATAGCGGTCTGACGTTTATTTCAAATTCAAATACTCTCATTCAAAATACTACTGAAGGACAAAATGTAAATATTACCTTTAAACGGAATTTATATAGAAGAGATCTGTAGTGTCACGGGCGTGGAAAATAGACGTGGGATATCGAGAGACCAAATTCCCCCCTGTCCCCCCATCACCCGCTCTCCAGGCAGGTCCCATTTTTGGTCGATTAATTTTTCAATCGCAGCAATATTGGTTTATATTTTGTTCGCGTTTTGCTTACTGTATCCTTTTCATCGCAAATGAAACTACCAAACAAAGAGTTTCTTTAAAGATAATCAGCACTGATTTACAAATGGTTCAGCTGAGGGTTACCTTAACGCAGGCGATTCCTTCAACTTTTATTTCGAAAAATTATCATTTATATATCCCTGCAACCCATGTAGTCGTCATGCTGACATACCAACTCGTTACAGTTTAGTGATACTTACATCAAGGTAAGACGGTTTCAATGCGCGAGCTATATGCCTCCTTCCCAGTTCCTCCAGGTACGCAGCGAAGCTAAACGCATCATCTAGTGAAGACACGGCATTCTCCACGGCTTTCATGACTCGCTTAGCGTGTCCATATAAAGCACTCGTGTTCTCTAGTTCAACTGGGTCTACGTCTTTAAACTCTGGAAACAGCTTTTGATAGTCGGGATTCATCTCAAAAAATCTGAGAGAAGTTAGAGAGAACCTGTGAGCAACTAGCCTGTTCCAGGCGTTTAGATAAGAAACTAAGCGCGACAGTAAACCGCGCTAAAGGAGAGGAGCAGGAAAATCCAGAGAGGTCTGGGTTGATTTTTTGCCCAGTAACCGTCTTCGTGACATTTATATTTGTTCTGCTTGACTATGATAAATGTTTGGTGCATTCCCTTTTTCAAACGATCCTGTAAATCAGAAGAGCCATGCACCAGCCATAGTTTGCCGATGGTCACAAACTAATATTTTGATCATGTAGCGGAAGAAATAACTCGCCTTTTACCAGATTTAACTAGAATGAAATTAAGCTGCGTCGCATTTTTTTTTTATTTAGGTGGTATAGCTTGAAGGAAATAATGCGTTCTTCTTAACATAATGCATATTTCTTCGCCTGAGACATGGCAACGGGGAGTAAACAAATAAAAACATGAATCCACGTTTGTATTCAGTGAAAGATCAACATCAATCGTCTAGTTTAAAACGTCTTATTCTGTCGCAAAATTGTCCTAAGAATATTTTATAGTGAATGATTACTTTTATTGAAAACCACGTCGAAGTTGAATAATCAGAATTAATCGCAAGAGTTTAGTTGTGACTAGGTTGTCAGTAGGCGGAATTTTAAATGGTATTCTTTTAGCAGAAATGAAAATGCAATTTTTCATTCTGACTTTTATGACGGAAATTCAGGCTGTCAAGATGAATTTTCATGGCAGGCGTATAAGTTATCTAATAAATTTCACTGATGGACGAGTCAACGAGGCGTTTCACGCTATGAAATGAAAAATTGAAGTAGGAATGCTCAAAAATTCTTTGGACAAGAACATTGTTCCAATTACAGCCCTATTTCTTTGTTACAAAGGGGCAGCGTAAACGTTTTTTTGGATAGTGTTTTTTTCGTTGTTACCGTAAAAGGACAACTAGTTGACAGCTTTGGGCGACATTGTATACAAGCTACACCCCAGCAGCAATGTTTCTTTTGTAATTTCTCCTGCACCTGTTTCTTCCGTCCCTGTTTTCTACTAAAATTTACCCGTTTTTGTGCATCTGTTCAGTTAGCTCTGAAAGTAGAAACGTCTTGTGGAAAATTCCTCTGGGCAATAAATACGATTACTTGCACTCGCGTTCTTTTTTTTCCTTTTTGGAAATTGCATTTGCGAAATGCACAAGAGCCTCAGCGAGCGATTCCTCGAGGTGATAAATGCGATTATTTCCAGTGGCGTCCGTTTTTGCAAATTTGAATTGCAACAAGTAGAAAGCTCTCGAGAATCGCAAATTAAGTAAGAAATTCACATGCAAGAAGTGCGCATCGGTTCTAGATCTTATCCGTCCATACAAGAGCGCTTCGTTACAGCCTTAACCGAGAGAAAAAAAAATCACTGTAAAAGTTGTCTTCCAGAGTCAAAAAATTATATCCCCGGTTAAGTTGTATCTATTCCCAGGAAGGTTTATCTACTCAACACGCGATTCAAATGCAAGTGCTCAGAAGATATCATCCCCTATCAGGTTTCAACGAAGCGACAGAAAAAAAAACAAGAATAACTATCTACAGCGAAAAAAAAATAATGAAAGGAAAACAAAGTCTACCGAGGAAATTGAGTAAACGACAAAACACGAAAGTGTTTACCTTAGAAACGTTTTCTTCCCGACCATATTCTTGTGTTGTTCGATCGTTTCCCAAGTTTCTCGGACAAGATACTTTTGTGGCTCGGACAAGGGAAGCGAGACATGGGCATGCTTTTGACTTAAAGACGAAGAACAACCCATATTTTTGTGAAAAATGATCCAGAACGTTCTTTGGTCGTCACGGTTTGCATGTGACGGCAAAATATGTAATTAGGGTGCTGAAGGAAGTTGACATAATCTATGTAAACTAGTATCTCCACTGCCCGCAATGACTGCTTAGTGCATTTCTATGTAGACACCAATAATAAGGAACTTGAAGCATTTGGCCTTTCGTCGAGTGTCTTGCGCAATTTCCTCAAAAATATATTTCCTCTCAGCTAATAGCCAATAAATTAAAGTATGGTCAAAGGCACGAAGTAAATTTTTATTTTGAATAAATTTAAATATCTTTGGCGCGAAAGAGTAGATATATTTATCCAGGCTCAATGTGTTTTGCTAATTTTTTGTTTCTACCGCAGACCTGAGGCATAACAGGTGTGTTTGGAGTAATTTTATATGACGGGGAAAAACTTAAGATTGAGCTGGAAAACATGTTAACTCGAGATGATTACAAATATTTCCACTCTTCAAAAATATTTTTAACATCGTAATTGATGTCATCTGCAGTTGAAAGAACAGCTTCAAAAATACCCTTCGCAGATTGTTTGAATGTATTCCCGAAAAGGTGTCACTTTTCTAAAAAAATCAACTCAATGCTCCTAAATTAGCATATTTCATTTAGTCCGAGGATTCTCAATATTTATGAAAAAGCGTTCTGTTTTTGACACCTTTGGTAACTTAAGTAAAACTTCAACGTAAGAATAAATATTTAAATTTCGTTTCGACAATACTAACGCAAAGTTACGAAAAAGTACAATTTGTCGTCAGAGTAGTAGTTAAGGAGGTTGAAATTCTGTTATTTCTGTGGGAGTCTATGTTACCTAGGCAACTTCATCGCTAGCCTACTCGCGCCATAGCAACATGACGATGCCAGAACAAAAGCGACAAACGGTGCTTCCATAAGCCATGAGATAAAGTTTTGAAAGTCTATCGTACGTTTTCAAAGAAAACCGATGCAATCGGCTTTGGTCGTCTTCAATTCTTGTCGTTTTGTAATATTTTGTGAATGTTGTTGAAGAAATTAAGTTTTAGAATTGAAATGATGATCGCGTTTCCCTATTTTTTAACCCGTTCTAAATATTTATCCCTAGGGCGAAAAATTGTTGCTTCCTAGTAATAACATTAATTATAATAAATTTCGGATATAACGTGTGCTGTCATTGGTTGAAAGAGCGTGCTCTATGAGAGTATAGAGCATAGATCTGAGCTAAAGCTGTCACGCCATCTGCCAAATTGTAAAATGTGCGACCTTTTCCGGGACTTTTCCCAAATTTTTTTTTTTCTTCAATTGAAAGGTAAATTTGGGAACAGGCAAGTCGGCAAATAGCAAAAGAAGAATCAAACAAAGGTTTGTAAACGTCAAGACACTACACTTCTTTTGTGCTCTAACCACTTCCTACGTGCTTTACAACAGAACAGAGCACAGCCAAGGCTTCTCCATTTGTTAAATGTTTAATTGTGTAAGTTTTCTGGATAATCCGACCATAAAATCACCGATTCAGAAGTTATTCTGCGTAAAAGTTGATAGTTTAAGCATATAACCGTCGGTTTTATTTCTCGTTTAGGCTTTAAAAAAAAACAAAAACAAAAACGGAAAGCAATGAAAATCTAACCATTTCGCTTAGAACATTTTATGGAAGTTGATATCGCCTTAAAGTTACTAGCTTACTGGTAATAGCTTTATCCTCTAACATTGGAATTTATCAGTATTGAAATTCTGCAGTTCATTATTTTAATTGCTTTATACAGCTCTGTTATTGTTGATCCTGTTTGTATCAGGATGTTCGTTGCTATGAAACCAAACACGTAAATGGTTTCCCCTTTTTCATCGCTGCAAAACGTAAGCTGACTCAAGTGTTATTTCTCTTACTTTCTATTCGTTTTCTCGATAACTAATGAACGCAATTTCATGACAGATGGATAGAAAGCATTAACTTCGACCGTAGGTTATTTCTAATTTATATCACGTACGATACTAATCTATAATTATGGATGAAATTTCATTCTTTTATAAAACGTTAAAACCGCACACAATTACGAGTGAGGTGCATTAAAGCTAAAATCACCTGTTATGGCGATAAAAAGCAGATTTAATGGAGATTGACCGAACTTATGGGAAAGTCTTCCCAAATAAGTTGAAAGAAATGCGACTCCTAAAAATTTACCTCTGTAAAATTGCGAGAAGAGCAGGTTGCTTGAATTCAATGGATTTCTTAGCTTCGGAAATTTCGGAAGTGCACGTGTATCATCATTGACAATTTAGCTCTCTCCAAAGAACATATCCTGTCTGATTTCCTTCAGTGTGTTATATTATCGCCACTTCAAGTTGTCAGTATTTATCTCTCTTCAAGTATAAATATTTATAAATAAAACGTTCAAACTCTTTCTTGAAGATTAAGCAGATATTTATATGTATTAAATAAACCTTTTTCATTTTATAAGTGAGTATGCGACACAGTTCATTACTTGCATTGCAAGTGTATACTTTTAAAAGTATAATTTGAAATGCAAATTTTGTAATGAAACTTTTATTGCGTCTCTATCGTGGATCATGTTTTGTTTTTATTCATTTGATATTTGTTTCTTTCCAAAAATGATCACATATTATTGTCTTAAAAATTAACCGAAATGACGTGAGTAATTTGTTCATAAGAAAAATACTGTCCCGCTCTGAAACCGATTTGGGTTAAATTTCTGAAAAACAAAATTTGGATAGATATGCTAATTTGCTAGCATGGTGGTTGTAATGGTAATGTCGAGTTTATTTTTTGGCTAATTAGAGCAGAAGTCTTTAGTTGGACAGAATATTACAATATATAACATAAAAAAAGTACATCAAAGGCCTACTTTCAACCGCAGACTGATCAAGATAAAAACTCCGTGGTGAGGTTAATAACACAATGTTTCTTTTGATTAGATGCAAGTTAGTTGGCGAGTTAATTTTTAAAATTAAGCTTCAAATGGGAGAAATTTATTAGATGTAGTTTGGGATCAAATTTTTTTCCGACTTCATTGTTAACTTGCGACAGAGTTTAGACGTTTCGAGGGAAAAATTTGAGTAATGATATCTTATCTAGAATAGCTCTTAAAATAATTTATATGAAGCGAAGAACTTATATTTTGCGCCAAAATATAATTAGCTAGGCTTTACAACTTCCTTTCTCCTCGTAGAGTTGTATTAAGAAATGATTTCAATTCACAGTAGGTTTCAGTTCATTTAAAATGTAAGTTTTCCTCTTGGTCGATTCATAAACACAAACAAACTTCAGAATTGGGTCTTAACGTTTTTCTCTCTAAGATTTGTAACGTTGCCAGCTTTGTTGCTATTTTCCACGCTTAACGACATATTGAAACGGACGTGTCACCCATGGTATTTCTTTTACACGAATATTCATACTGTTTAAGAAGATTTATGGGTCATTGATGGATCGAAAATGAAACCTATCCCTTGAAAATTTTAAAAAAAATTAAAACTCACCCTCGAAGAAAACAGCTTTGTATTATCAATAAGTTTTACTCGGGAAAACTACAGTTATGGTTGTATATTATATTAGCAAACGAGTCAAAGATAAAAGACTTATGAGTTTTCCTATAGTTTGACTTGTAGCATTTAGAGGGCCTTGTTATTATGATCCATAAAAAATAAATTATTTTAAATTTTTCTGTCAACTTCTCCAAGCAGGTGTGAAATTATTAGCCGCTGGCGGGTAGTTCACACGACTATTTCAATTCATTCGCAAATTTTTGCTACGTTTTCATTCGGCAAGAAACAAACGAGTAGAAAAAAATTTGAATGTCTCTCAGTAACATAGAGATAGATTACGATGAAAGGAAAAAGGAAAATTAGCCATTTATTTCTTGTATGAGATGCGTGCATGTGTCTCGTTTACTAATTTCTCATAGGTACAGTGGACCTGTTTTATTTGGCTGATTGCACGTAATAACGGGGTAATAACGCACCATTTAGGTAATCCAACACAGTTTCTTGTAGCCCAATGTCGGTTAAGCAAGATAAATCAAACTGAAAGATTTGGAGAGATTTTTGTTTGAGCTTTGTGTAAATTATCATCCTCACGTGTCACAAAGCGAACCGGTCAGAGCAAAAAAATAAGAAAACAAAACTACAGTCATTAAGCAATACAACATTATAGAATGAAAGTTTTCTGATTTTGGTCACGATAAATATTTAGCGTGTTTTCATGGGAAGCTAGGAGTAAAAAAATTGACCAGCTACCGACTAGTAGGTGAAGAAGAGAACAAAAACACAACAACGATAACAAAATACAAACTAAAACTTGAGACGTGTACACAACATAAAAGCTACTAACGAAAACAACTGACATTCCCCAATTGGTACGTGATAAAAAAAAACAGGAAACAGATAAAAATATTATAAAAAGGCAAACCACAAGTCAGAAGTAAAGGAGATAAAGAAGAACGAAAAAAAAAAGGAATTGCATTAAAAGCTCATGACGAATGTTGATAAAAGCAGAAAAAAAAACCAAAAATTAAAACAGAGACAAATTCTAAAAGTTAAAAACCAGGCCAAAGCACCAAAATGCGATAAAAAGGACAAAAAACAGACAATACAAAATACAGAACAAAGGAAAGATTATCCACTAGTTTTTTTAATGGCAACGCAGTATAACAGGAAGTAACTACGGAGGACATAAAATGGTTTATATAAATGGCAAGAACCAGAAATTAAGAGTAATAAGATATGTGCAAGACGCAATTTATTGACCGCATGTGGCTCAGAATTAAAGGGTTAGCCTACTTTACTGCGAGTAGCTTTTTTGACCGCACGAGCTGCGACCATGATATTGCTCGAAAAGGTCATCATGCACTTAGACGCTCACAGCACGAAAATAGGATATTTCCCGAGTTATGCGTCTTTCAGTCAGTGGTACTCCTTTCAGGCCTTTCATGTTAGTTTTTAATTTCTTCATAGTGGAATAATTTCAAATTATATATTCATTTGTCGTATCGAATGGACTTTTGTCTTGCAATGTTTTGCCCAATTTAATTTGCTTCAAACAAGTGGGGTCTCCCTTACGGCGACGAAAAATCACTTAGCATGTTTGCAATTTGCATGCAGCATCAATTGTCAGAGTTTTACAATCGGTGCCAATCAGATTCAGCTTATTGTAAAACGCTCTTTTATCTCCAATACAAAATGATTTGTTCAATGTTGGGCTGACAGACGCAACGCCAGATCGAGCTATTTATGTCAAGAAGCAAATCTGCCGAGTTGTAGTGTTTTTTCAGGGTAAACACAGATTTTCAATTCATCTTTTCAAATCGTTACAGGTGTTGTCAAGAAGTCTGCCAGCTATTTCATCAAAATATAAACAAGAATATGGGATGCGGATCTTCGTCGAGTCGCCACAGAGATAAATTTAAGGCCTCCGTATTTCCACTCACTACGGCTCAAAAGTACCTGGTACGCGAGACCTGGGAAACAATCGAAATCCATAAGAGTTCTGTTGGGAAGAAGACTTTTATCAAGTGAGTGTAATGTATATATTAAGAAGACAGTTCAAATCGCTCAATCTAGAGTCTCCACTGAGATTGATTATAACTTTCATCTCAAAAAAAATTGGTACAACGTTATATTTATTTCACTACGTAGATTTTCCATTTTAGAATATGTTTTTGTAAAATATGAATAGGTCCGTTCAATATTGTAGAGCTCCAGGAATCAATATATTCACTTTAGCGTTTAATTTAACTTGTCAAAAAAGCCATTGGTGATCGAGTGTTTTCTATGAGACTGAAAAGAAATATTACAGCACAGCCAAAACTAGCAATTTATTTATGCTTCGTCTTGTAAAATCATTTGAAAAGACAATATCGCTTTATATAATTCCCTTTTTTTTTGTTCCAAAGGATAATAAGGCTTAGCAACTTTATGGAGAGAGGGTATTCTGGGTTTTATCACAAACTTGCTTAGAAGTGGAAAACGTAAAAAAGTGAGAACTTCTGTAGCCGTTTTTTTTTCAGTTCCCTTCGTAGTTTTTAATGATCAGTAATAATTGATTTGATAATTTTTTCGGTTGAACAACTTTATTCCTCGTTATCGTCACGTTCCCTCTTAAGCGTGGGCACTGATCATCGTTCGCCGTAAAAATCTTTCTCCGAATTAGGAGACCAGTCAAACCCCACGAGAAATAGGATAAAAATGAAAATAAAAATAACGGTATTGTGTTCGTAATACAGAGTATTCATCAGCCACAAGACGTTTTTCAGGTCATGTTGATCTAAATTGGTTTCCTGTTCCAATTCAACGTAATACGCTGGCACAATTTCAAGCGATATTTAAGTAAAGCTTTAAATTTCGAGTTTTCTCTCATACAAAGTTATGGAAGCAAAGACACCATACGGTAGAAAAACAAATTTCTTCCAGGATTTCATGTTTTTAATCTTAGAATCTATCCCAAAAACTTACTCTGTGGTGTACTAAGCAATTACTTATTTCATCAAAACACAATGTCTCTTTTATATAAATCCATAATTCAATATTGAGAGCTGTAAAATACTCCGCCAAGGTTACTTCATATCCAAATGATATCTTGCATAATAATATAAATATAACTTAGAAAACCGTCCTAAATGGCCTGTAATTTGATTTTTACGAGAAAATTATAGATTTCCTTCCCCTCTGAAAAAGATAGTCGAAAACCGCTGTTTGCTTTGCTCCAAATTAAGCCAGTGCTTTCTCAAACAATAGCTTGTACTCCAATTACTATTTCAGTTCATATGTGATTGCAACGGTGCGTAGTCTCATGCTATAGCTAGGGATCCGTGGGCTTACTCCTACGCTTTATTGCGTTGGTAAATTATTTTGAATGGACTGAATTTATCACTGACTTAAACCTGTAGAGGAAAGTTTAAAAAAACCATATCAACCTTTTTAATTTAGTGTCCACGATATTAACGAAGGTAAATTCACATAAACAGGATCGTAAAAATTCGGAAATGGCTATGAATTTAAATGGTCGTTCATCTCTTTTGCGAGAGTTTCTGATTTTTTCATCAAAACTTCGCTTTTATCACTTGTAAACGGTGCAGCTGTACAAGCGATGAATGGAGTAGAAGAGCAAGCTGTATCAACGGGAAAGTTTGAACACTTCAACCCCTAAGAGTGATAAGTAACTATTTTCTCTTGCCAGTATCACCTTTAAAACAAACATTGAGGTCAGGCGAATAAAGGAAATGATCACCAACTAAAGAAGCTATTGATTGTTAAACAAATTCTCTTTATCAGTACCATAGGAAATGTATAGAGAGCAGTGTGGAGAAAATGCATGTTAATGTTAGGGTGTAAAGGGTGAAAGGATACCTCCAACGCGAATCGTGCACGATCATGATTTTTTATTAACTTGTTAGCAGTAAAACAACAGTTTTTAAAATAAAAACATTAATTTACGTTTTAGCTTTTCAACCCTTTACACCCTAGCATCAGTGAGCATATTCTCCAAATTGTTCCCTATACTTTTCCTAAGGTTCTGACTAGGAGAAGTTGCCTAACAATCAAGAGCGTCCTTTAGTGATGATCATTTTCTTTATTCTCATGACCTTAATTTGTGATCGAGGGGTGATATTGTTTGGAGAAATTAGATGCTAATCACTCTGAGGGATCAAGGGGTTAATTGTGCCTACGTGTTGGTCGAAATCTGTTCCTGACAATCAACCAGGACACCCCCCCTCCCTAATTTAAAAGTCGCACGTTTGTGAAACATTAACCTCTTAGTCCGTAATGAGATTATAGATTTTTATTTTTTTATCGCGACATCGTCTCGCTAAATGCTTAGCCACAATTAACTAAATACATCAATTTGTCTGTAGAAATAATATGAAAGTTGATCTGCAAAAGATATTGTTTTTTTATCTACACAGTGGTCATCCCTAATAGACCTTCATTTTCTTCAGAATAGCTACTTAATCGGTGAAAAGAGAGCGATTGCTTTGATAAAATATAACCATTTGATACAAAAGCCAATAATTACTATATTCAAAACGGCTTTTGTCTGTCCAAGACGCTCGATTTACGAAAACTAAGTAAAAACTTGTCTTTTGGTTCGTAAAACTGTATGTCTCAAGAATTTTTTTTTTTTTAACTCGTTACTGCTACTCTAGGATTTCTCTGATATAAGTAAAAATAAACTTTACATATTGCATTGTCACTTACAGAGGAAGTCAGCTACTGTGCATAGCCGTAACATATAAATTTTTACATCTTTGCAGATTCTTTGAAAATAATCCTGAATATCAGCGACTTTTTCCGGAATTTAAAGATGTACCTCCCTCTGAGCTCGCAAAGACAAATGCCTTATATGGTCATGCAAAAAGAGTGATGAAAGCGGTGGAGAATGCCGTCTCTGCATTGGATGATTCTGAGAGTTTTAGCGCGTATTTGGAAGAATTAGGACGCAGACATAAAACACGTTTCTTGAAACCAACATATCTTGACGTAAGTTAATAGATAACTTTTCACTGACTGACATCATATATTTGATTTTTAGTATTATTGCCTAGGCGATAACAGAGCTGCTACTCTATAATTGGTCAGAACTAAATCATATCTTGCTATATCTACCATGCATGAAGCTTCTTTCCTCAAAAAATGATCAATTCCCTTTTTTTTTTCTCAGTCCATGCAGGAGGCCCTGATGTTTGTTCTTAAAGATCTTCTCAAGTCTAGTTGGACTGAGGAAACTGCAGATGCCTGGAACAAGTTATTCCAGTTCATCACAGAACACATGGTTTACGGCTTACAGTCGTGATACACAAGAAAAAGTTACAGAGAGACTGAACTCTTATTTCCCCTCGAAGGCAATGACCATCTAGTTTAGAAGCGGGTGGGGTGGGATACTAAAACAGCGAACTCCGAAGCAAGAGGAAAGGTTTATGACAAAGAAAAAAATATTCTCGAGCCTAGTTTTCCCGCGGCGTAAAGTTAGAATAAAAAGCATACGGTCTGGGTTCGAGTTAAGTGAAAGCATACCAATTAGACACAAAATCGTGAACATTATATTTGAAGCACAGAAAAATTGCGCAAACCTCCTCTTCGTCTTCTTTGAATAAGATTATGGCTCTTACTGTAATGAAATTACAAAGGAGCCAGTCTGGCAGTCGCTGGTATATTGAAAACTTTTGCTAGTCAAAGTTTCAAGCACGAAATATTTATCGTCATGTTAACTAAGCAAAGATTTCTGTAAAACTAGCCAAATGAGTCACCTTCAGAGGGAAAATTAACCAACTTTTCCCCGTGCACACATCATGAACGTCAACTAAAGCTACATTTAAGGTCAATGAGAAATTTGAAAAGAAAATGCGAAAACTTATTTCCATCAAGTTCTAAGCATAAATGCTAGTTTCTTGAAGCCGTTTCTAATACAAACGGATTGCGTGGTAGGTTAGGGTTGAACTGCCCAGAGGTACCATTTGTAGCCACTACGACTGTCATGCATTGAACTTGAATTGTCGCTTAGTCCTAATCGCCAGGTGACACGTGAATAACAGATTGTCTTCTCAAGGTGAGCTCTTCGCGGTTTTTGTCTGTTCAAGGAAACCTTCTCACTTTAAGATGTACTAGAGTGTTTTCTTCCTCGTAAATTTATTTGATTTTGTGATTCTGACATCATTTCAGCTTAACACTTATTCAAAAATTGTCTGTACGACAACACGAGCTACAATGCTTTATTTTGTGCTTTGTGTTTCCCGCCAAAACACGTTGGCTTCCACTTATTTCTTCGCGCTTTTGGCTGGCCGACCGGTGTTATTCGAGCAATCGTCTTTGGATGCCGGATATTGGCTTCAAGTCAGGCCTAAATAATTTTATGACATAACGTTAGCAAATATTTAATCATGGTTGTTCAGAATCTTATCATAATCAAATATGAGTAAAATAATTCATTATAATAACAAAAGTATTTGTAGATGACATATTTCTGTACTGTATTATACACTAGTGCAAGAACGAAATGTAAATAACAATTTTCTACGGACTAAAAGTGCCAAACGCTCATGGGCTTTGAAATAATGTCTTTGATAGCATTTTTTTTTTTAATAAACAATGAAAAGTTTAATGAACCAATGCTTTTATGAGAGCGAACCCGCCAAATTTTTCTTGCCTTAGGAAATATGTGAACAATAACAGCTTCCCCTTACGAGAGTGCGAAATGTTGGCCCTCATTTAAGGAAAAATAGAGTGATCTACACCCGCGAATTCTGCTAGGAACTCTCGTTTCTCATTGAAAAACTATCACTACTTGGACATTTCATACCGCTCTGTACCAATCTGAAAGAAAAACTTATCAAGCAATATTTACTAACTTAACTTAAGACTTAGTCCGGTAAGGGACAAGTTATTTTATACAGCTGCATGTATTCAAATTCATTAACTAGACGTCACTTGATGAACTGATTATTTCCTTCTGAGGGTGATAATTCCGATATTCCCTTGATCACATATCGGACGAATGATGAAGAAGACAGCGGTGTATCGACTTTAGCTTTCGTTGAGTCTACCATCGAAATTGTGATTTCTCAAAAACACAGGAACAAATTTAACTATAAAATTATCGTAGCGTTCATTTGTAATTTAATTTTCGACAAAGCTTATCCAGTGATAGACATTCTGTTTCGTGTATTCAATAAGCTGCCTTTCATTTCATAATAATGCAGTACTGCAAGAAGAAAGCTCGCCAGTTGACTTTGTCGTCTTTATCGTGTTTTTGGAGCATTCGCTATATATCGCCTGAAGAGGGTAGAGTTTGGGGGGTTTTAACCGTGTCACAATAAAATTTATTTGATCCCTCTAAACTCCAACCCCTCCCCAGGTGATAAATCATGAGTGGTATCCAAGCTCGTTGGAACCATGATTGAGTGTCCTGACTCGAACCCAGGGCGGCATCCTTGGGATTTGTTATTAGGCAGCTTACGTCTGCTACACAGTATCTCTCCCCACCCCCAAGAGTATAAATGGATACCAGCGAATTGTCGGAGAAAATAAATAATAAAAAAACACTCTGATTATAGTGGGATCCAATAATATATCAAGGAAGAACGCATTTTTTTGAGTGGAAAATTTGTAAGCATAAAAGCAGTTATGTATCATTCAGGCCTGTAAGCATCGCCTTGAACATGAATTTAGATAAAGCGTCCCAGGCTTCAAAAGTTTCAGATGTCCATTCTGACTGGAAAATTTCTTTTAAAGAAAACATGAGGGCCTCATGTATCAACTGCAAAGGAATAAATAAGAATCAGTTAAATTCTCATAGGACCACCCTGAAAATAAACATATCGATGTATGAAGCGAAACCAAATGAAAATAAATTTTGATAGATGAAGTTAAACTATGAGTAAAGTTACACAATTATAGATAATTTTTAAATAGACAACGTATCATAGCCTTATGGTAGAATTTTGTGGCTTTCCGAACTGCCAAGATGTAAAGAGAGGCCGCAGACTTCCATGTACCGCTGCTGCTTAGAATGATTAATGAGATAAAAGTGTCTGGGAATATGGTTTTGATGCGTGCTCTTTATTCCTTACTACATCGCCATGGTGTCCCCGGAATCGGTCACCTGGTCGTCTTCCTGTTTCAGCGATGTATATCTTTTTGCAATAAGTGCAAGTTACGCAACTGATGAGGTGCACGTGACAGATATCGACGGATATTTTCGCAACGTAATGAATGAGAGTACAAGTTTTGCATCGTTCGCGCACGCATTTAAAAATCAGTTTTCACGTTTGAACGAAATAAGTAGAGGTTGCGAAAAGATTGTACCAGTCTTTGAATCATTTTCACTTAATTTTAAGTTTTCAAGAATGATGAATTTAAATGCGTGGTTTTGAGGGTGAAATGTGAGAGTGAATGGCATGCGATCAGTGTTTTCCTTCTGAGCCGTTTGTAATGCCGATTGTCGGTCAATTTTTGGGCGCGGTATCCTGTTTTTGTCGTTCAAGCGGGCCACCAGCCACGTTTTTCGAAAAAACTGGCACATTGTCACTGATTTGTCGAAGAAATCAGAGTCATCACTACATAAACGACCGGGTCTAATAAACTGAGAAAAGGGAAAACCTGTTAAGAGAGAGAGTCTACTTACATCCAAGTAATGGGCTTTGAGGGGCCGAACCTGATGTCTTCTCCCGAGTTCAACAAGATAAGTGACAAAGCGTTCATTATCGTCCATGGATGTGACAGCATTTTCAAGACATTTCATGTAGGTTTTACTGTGTCCAAATAAAGCTCGTGCCGATTTTAGCTCTTCCACTGGATCATTTGTATTAAACTCTGGCATCATCTTCTTAATTTGAGGATTTAATTCGAAAACCCTGCAACGAAAAATGAAGTCTTATTGAGCTTTTCAATTGTAACTTTTCCCTATTTAATGGTTTACAGTCTGACACAGACATTTCGGAGACAAAGCGCTAATTTATGTAATATTTTCTCAGAAAATATTTGAATAGATGGTGATTATATAACTGACATAGCACCAAGCTTTTTTTCGCAGCACATTCTGCAATGTCTCGAATTCACATTTTATGCTTTTAGGCTTAAAGGTTTTAACTGCCCTGCAGGCTTGGTCAGGGGTTTTATGTATTCGGTTTATATCTACTTTTTTCTTTTTTTTTTTCGAAACAGGTACTTTGTAATTCCTTATCAAAATACTATTATAAATCATCTTGTTTTCCAGGAATTTAGCATTTAGAATACGAAAATGAGTTTATTTACATATAAATTTTATGCAATCTCAGGCTATATCGATATTTCTCGGGGGAAAATCTGGTATTTTCTGATACTCCACTATCACCACGGTAGGGCTTGGCTGATAAGAAGCGAGACCACAATATGGAAAAAATTCTTTAGAATTTTATGGAAAAAAATCTGATATAAAAAGGGGTGAATCCGTTTTCCTCGGTAGAGGGAAATGTGCTCTTTTGTAGCCAAGTCACAGCATCAATGACACTTAGGTTATCAAGGTGCTGAACAATAAGCGCACCATGAAACTCATATACTGCAGTTTTTTCGTATTTCTCTTCAGAAAAATGTCGATGGGATCACAAGAAACAGTGGGTTTTCAATTATCAACAGAATTCATACAGAAAGCACACTGTGTAAGAAATTTCAAACCGAGAACGACTTCCTGAGACTTTGAAGTTCCGTTCATAATTTTTTAACATCTCAACTTCCCGTTTGCATGGAGGTGGAAGTTTGGCTAAAATGCCTCACTACAGTGCAAGGTTTTTTTCGCTGATTAAATGAAGGATCTGGGATCTGGTATTCATAATGATATATCGCTGGGTAACTGAAACCTTTGTTAAAAGACAAACGGAGGCAGAGTTTTCACACAGTAACTTCAGCTTTACCTCGTATGAGCCCTTCGGTGTAATCAGATGCTACTGTTGCTAGAATGTGACTACAGACAAAGGCATAAACTCAGAAAAATTCAAAAAGTACAAATTTTTTTTGAAATTTATCACGATCAATGTTTTAATTTTCCTAAACGTCAATTTTAAAAACTTATTTAAACGTAGCGCTGATAATTCCATGCATTGTTTATCTTGCAATGAAGGCGTAAAGTTTCAATCAAACGGCTACAGCTGTTTTTCATGAGAGATTTCTAAAGTTTCAATCTTTCCGCGTGGGTACTCATTTTCATCAATTAGACAAGAGAAACGAATTTGGGAAATTTAATATTCACGAACATGTTATAGAAAAAAATTCATCACTTCATAATATGCACGACGATCATTATTTTTAATTTTTATTACTGAAGGCTTTACCTGCATAGCTAAAAATAAATCATGCTTTTTCCCTGTAGATTTCCCCGAGCAAAGTGTGGCATGGAACACAAACTTTGCAGCATTGAGTTTTCTTAATATCAGTCGGACATCGACTCGAAAGCAGACAAATACAGTTTCCGTTTGGCGCGCTTTGTAATTGATATCATTCGCCAATCAATGAATCTTGTTTTAGCTGGACGAACCAAAACTTACAGAGAGCATTACGGCGGTAAAGAAAGACGTTAAATCTCCGGTTTCCACTCGTTGCCTGGCGAATTCTGACCTTAAGTTCTCTATCGCAGCAAGCAGAAGATGTGTTAACGTTTCGCAAAAACTTTGCATATATTACTGGGAAGGAAAATAGAAAAATCTGCAGGTGTCATTATTTGTCGGGAAATTTTTTTTTTTTTTTTTTATCAGAAGTCTCTCTAGATTGCTTCATTTTGTGTTTTAAACTAGCTTGTTTGTGCAACCCCATTGATTTTACATTCAACTCGGATTTGAATGAAAAAAAAATATACAGAAAATTCGTGACTATACCGACAATAAAGAATAAATTATTCAGCCAATTTAGAAGCTGAAAATAATTAGGGTACCAGAGAAACTGTCATTGTTATTGAATTTAGGGATACATGTTCCCAATTTTGAACTTTACTAGCCTAAAAACGAACTAATGGAACAAAATCTAGTGTGACTTAATTAAACAAGAAAACTTTTAGCTGGCTGCGACTTGCAATAAGAGTTTTTTTGTAAATATATCTTCAATCAATCCCTCTTTAAAACATTTGAAAAAAGGTTATTCTAGAATATAAACATCTTTCGACCGTTTCCTGTCTCTAATACAGTATTTTTCCATGTTCCTGTGAGCAGAAGTTTGGAAAATGTTGCGCTTGAACGCAAGATTAACATCTTCAGATATATGCGTCTTTGAAACATAATTTTTCTTACAACCAAATTACCTTATCCATGTTTGTTTTCCAATCTTCGTTCGATTTTCTTCGACTGTTTTCCACGTCATCTGTATGGCAATCTTTTGAGCATCGCTGAGGTTATTCGAAATATTGACTTTGGAAACAAGCTCTTTGTTGTGCAATGATGAAGAACAGCCCATTATACAGTTAAACCACCTAAGCTTTTACAAACTCACACTGAAGATGTCATGGCCAGCTGCAACTCATTTCGGCACCTGAATTATACCAAGTTGTTAATCAGCTTTCATATCATTCGGCATTACAACGACGTGAAAGAAACTGTCAATTAGGGCAGCGGTTTACGTAAAAATTTACACGTTTGAAAAATTAAACCATTCGAAAGAACTCACCCACTACAGCCAATCACAGAGGATTGAATTACCTCTTGAAATAAATAATAATTTGTTTATCGTATCTCTTACCGTGGAGTGGTGTTGCGCCCTCAAAGAGACCCAAACACCTAGCTAGTTATCGACTAACGAGATAAATGAGGCAGATAAACCTTAGATGCGATTTTAACATCGAAAGTGACATTTGTACCCGCGCCTTTTGTCAGAGCCACATAAACTTACAGCTGATCAACAGCTTAGTGTTTTATTCATTCGTCGGCGAGGCTTGAAATTTTCTCACTTTTTCTACCTTGAGTCCTCGCGATCCTCGCCGAAGGTGATAACAATGTTCCACCAAACAATATTGCTTCATTTAAATGCATTTCATGACTAAGACTTCGCCTTTGATATTCGTAGAGTTATATCCTGTGCGTACCACAATCATTCTTCTTCTTTAGGTTTTGTTACGTCGTTGCTGCAGGTGTAGTTAACATTTATCTAAGACTTCCCCTCATCACATCTTTTATGTTTTGCATAATAGCAAGTAATTACTTCACTTTAACAATTACCGGAAATATTAAATATTTTTCTTTATTTTTCAATTTCGGTATTTTTAAAGAAAATGTTAATTATGTGGATACTATTTGACGCAAAGTGAAAATTATGTTTTATAAATACATATGTGATTTTTTTACAACAATTTTTGATAAAAGTTTAGAATACATTAAAAAGAAGAAACATCTTGAGTCGGAGTATTGATTTAAAAGCCAAAGCAAAATTGAAGTGAGAAAAAACAAATTTACGAAGATAACGAACTCACTGAGACCTGATATTGATAATGTCTTACACTCAGGACCAACATCATTTTGTGGAAAACAAACCCACGTCAAAAAAGGTAATTTGGTTTTATCAATCGAGTTGATAACGTAAATTGGCCACCATAGAGAGTTTCTATAGCTGACCGCGTTTTGAGCGCCAGCCTTTTGTCAGGATTGAAGGACGCAGGGCTTATGCAAAAAGGAATATCCTGAACAATACTGCGTAACTTGTAACTCGATTTCTGCCTTTTTCGATTATTATAGTACACTAGGCACAGGACTTTGTCTTCTTTTCGGAAAAAACCTTTCGGTCAATATATTATTTTCATTGCCACTCGAAGGAAAGTAGACGAGAAATTGATATTTCATACCTCATTTTGCTCTGTTAATGTTCAATTTGCTGTTTTTATGATCTATCGTCATTTACATATTAAGAAGTGGTGCTTAAGTAATTGGAGAACACAACACATTCGATTTTTCCCGTGGAATTTTCTCTTCCTTTGAGAATGCAGTCAAATTATTAATTAGAATTGAACCCCTGTCCTGGCCTAGCTTTCGCACTCTACCCCCGCATAAAAAAGCTAAAATTTCCAGAGAAAAGTAAATTTGTTGTGTCTTTGCATTATTTAGAAGAAGTATTTTTGAGACGTTGCTGTGAAATGAGGCGAAGACTGTGTATGAGAACATTAATGTTGACACAGTTTCACCTGAGATTGGAGCTTATGGCGATCGAAATTTATTCAGTGAAAGAAAAGTTTTAGTAAGCAAGAGAGGTTTGAGAAGGTTTATGATTTCTTAACAAAAGACATTCCCTACGTAATTAAGAAAAAGCTTAAATGCTTTGTTGAAATATTTTAAGCCAAACTTCCTTAGTGACATATTCAATATAAAGCAACAATCCATGCCCCGCTATTTACAATTATTTTGTACCTCAGTTAAAAAAATGACGAGACTGAGGTCGTAATGGCAGCTATCGAACCTCAAAAAATTCGTACTTGTCTGTCGCTTATTTCTGGATCATCATTATAAGTGTCTTCATGGGTATGCAAGCCATTTGGCATTCTTAATGCATCATCAGCCATGCATGTTTTATTTACTTAGAGTTTACAATAACACACCAAAATGCTAATTGCTAAAATCACTCAAATCACATCAATCGCCAAACCCAACAATGATACAACTTAAAAATAATAATGTGGGATAAAACAGCAGTACTTGACCCCTATAGACACAGTCCTCAAATGTAGAGAAAACAAAATTCACTCTAGTTTCAAGGAAAGATGACTTCCGGTCTCACGCCTGTTTGGAACAAACACTAATCTGTCTCTTTTGCGAGGACTCGAACCCCTGTCAATTTCGAACCTTTGCCACATCATCCACCAAGCTGCGCAGCACAACGCGCTAAATAATATGCCGCCCTTCTGATGTGATGAACGTCATGAAAGGAGCCCAATACTTAAGTAATGGGTTCCTGTTCATGATATATTGTTCTTCAAGCTTTTACAGCTGTTAGAACACCCACTGATTTGCGGCCGGGTAAACCGATAATTGCATTACTCTTAGGATATATCTCACTAAATATTAAATAAACAATTATTTTTTAAACAAATGGAACACAATTATCCACAGTCTGTTTAATAACTAGGCTTTGGTTTTACGTACATCTGTTTAGTTGTACAACACAGCGAAAGTCGATATATCCTTTTGAGTTAGTAATGATGTGTAACGGATTTCCGCCGTTATAGCATAAAAAAAAAAAAGGAAAAGGTTAATCAGCAAAGGAAATTTCTAGAAAACTTCACAACCAGATTTTATTACACCACAAATGTATTTTTGGTTACAGTCCAAAGGCACTTTTTCACATTGCGTGTCGCTCATTATTTTCTGTTAATCTCCCCATGCAAGTTCGTTTTTATTCGGGAACAGAAGTGAGTCCCCGCTATGTGCTTGAGGCTCACAGTTTATTTCTCTTTATCATCGTGTGTTAATTAATTTTAAAATTTCGTGATTTTCTAAATGCCGGCGTGGGTGCCTTGATGGGAACTTTTGAGACAGCCTTTAATGACGCACTCGGATGTAAGAAAAATATCAAGCAAAAGGAAAGTTAAGCGTCACTTTGATGAGTTTTCATTATGGGCTCGACAAAAATACGGTTATGTCAATATAAGTCATTGTTCGCATGTTAAATAATGAGTAAAAATTTTCCCGCAGACAATGATATTGTTAGCGAGAAGAAAAAAAAAACATGTATTATGCAATCTGTGAAACGTTCATTAGTAGTTAATGTTCCCAGGCTATTTCTTATTTACAGTCATCTCAACCTTTGAAAACGGTTTCTTTCCTTACTTTACCTATTCAATGAGGTACGGCCAGAAGGGTTTAACCGTTACAAATAGGCTGTAAATTTATGAATGATGAATATGGTAAACTGACGTATTACGGGCTCCCTCCTCACGAAATTTCCGTTTCGCCTTTATTATCTCTATTGTTTTAAGGACCTTTTGCTCTCGTACGGCTGGGTGCTTTTGTCCGTTGTCTAATTGAATGTTTTGCAATGTGATGATGGTAACGGAATGACCCCAGACTGATTTAAAATGCCCTTTGAAAATATTCGCTGGTTTCATGTTTTCTTCGTTGTATTTCTTGCCTCGAATGTGGACACAGTTACGGCCGCGAGAGAGTTACTCAGGAATAACATTAGTGAACCTCAAGCTATCTGCAATGACAATTCTAGAGCCACGTTTTATATCGGAGCAAAGACATCGAAGAAATGGATTGTGTTCTTTGAAAGTGGCGGATTTTGTTCCTCGTTCGCAGACTGCAACAGACGTTACTTGAGTAAAGATTCAACGATCTTGATGACTTCGAACAAGCTGCCTGATAGAATTACTGGACGAGATCTGCTCTCTGCGTCTGGCAGCGAAAACCCAGCTTTCTTTCGATACAATCACGTTCTCGTTCCATACTGCAGCAGTGATCTTTGGCTTGGCTTGAAAACTAATCCCAACAAACCGTTCCGTTTTGTGAACGATTCGTCCGTCGATAACTTCAGTTTTAGAGGACAGACGATTTTTCGTTCGGTTTTCATGGATCTGCTACAGCTTCATAACTTGACAGACGCCGAGGAGATCATTCTTGCGGGAAGTAGCGCAGGGGGGATTGGTATTCTGAATCACGCGGATTGGGTCTTGAAGTACGTAGTGGAAACACATCGTTTAAACGCCAGCCTTTTGTCTTTAATCGACTCAGCCTGGTTTATCGACTTTCAGGGTAGTCTCCAGGGCAGAATGAATCCCAAGTTCACATCATTCGCAAATATTTCGTCGCCTGCTTGTTTAGATTATTCGCGTGGTCACACTTGTTGCCCATCAGCACCATGCATGATTGCGCGCGGGTATTATCCCGCAAGAGTCCCGTTACTTTTGATCTCAAGCATGTATGATATTTACATGTTTGGTGAAGTTGTTAAGACATTAGAAGCCGAAGGAAAAACGGCAAATGAGCACTCTGCAGATTTCATATCTGCTATAAACATGTACGGCGGTGCGATGAATGAATCTTTATCGTCATCAGAAGAACAGTCATTGAATGTGAGCTTCTTTACACCAGCATGTTTTCAACACATTTATTTTGCCACCTCAAGTTTGTGGGACGAGAATGGGATCTTTTCTCCTTCAATGGAAGTTGCAGTTGGAAATGCAAAATTTAGGTGAGTCATTTATTATAAGTTTTCGGATCAATGTCAGCACCTACCCCTCCCCTAACCCAAAATTAACCCTAATATGCCATCATTGGACTGTTGATGGGTTACGAGAGGGACGTGTGCCGTAGCTCACACACTGTCATTAATCCAGTTTTTTTATGTCTCTTTCACCAATTTTTCCCCGTCACTTAGATTGGTCGTTGTGATTGGTCGTTGTGATTGGTCGTTGTGATTGGTCGTTGTGATTGCTTTGATTTTGATTTCACGACACTCAATTTGTTTTGTGACCCTAAACTCATTTTTAATTTTTCATTTGGCGACTTTTATTTAAAACAAGTTTTAAATGGTTTAAAGCAAATGTAAATCCCATGTTTCCGTGCATCTGTTGCGACACACTCAGGTGCACCAAGTGAGACCCCTTCGCCACCTCGTGTGCCATGGTAATAGATTACAGAAAGCGTCAAAATGTGATTAAAATGGCATTGACTCAGTCATACCACGCCTCGGGTGCTACTCCCTTGTTCTTACCACATTTTGACGTCGTCTGTGATCTACGACCGTATTAACTCATGGCAATATGGAATTTATTTGCTTTGTATGATAAAAAAGCACACTGTTATTAATGGTGACACTATCTAAGTCTGACTTCGAAAGATCCTAAGTAAGAACCAGTTAAAATCAAAATGAATGTAATATCATATTTTGGCCCTTAACTGATCGTAGTTAACTCATATCGCAAGTGGGAAGCAGTTTTGTTAATTTAATTGCAGGAAAGGAACTTGGAAAAAAAACGGCAGCTTCTGTGGGGTTTGAAAATGCGCCTCTAGGATTCTAGCAACGTTGCTCTGAAAACTGAGCCATGTAAGTCACATAACGGAAAGCGGGTCATTTGTGGTCATATTGCTTCACGGATAACAAAGAACCCCTGAGAATTTGCCTCGCTTTCAACATGTGGCCTCGTCACTCACTTGGTAGTGGTGGCGCGCAGATGGTATCTAGAAGGCATGTGTTCGACCCAAAGTTTTTTACAGGCTCTTCTTTCTTATTTTTGTAAAACTTTCCCCAATTACTAATATGTTTGCCTGGTTTTTCACATAGGAACAAAGTGCGAAGAAAAACTTGGGAGACAACAAAAATATCGAAGACCAGCATGAAAGATTTTGTATCGACATGGGTGAGATCACGTGACGCTTCCATAAAACTAATTGACAGCTGTATCGGTGCTCAGTGCAACCCTACGTGTCCCCAGCAGTTGTTTTTTATAGATCCTGCGGTGAACTGGGTCGAGGTGGTCAAGATTGTCATAATCATTCTGTCCCTGTTCATCACAGTCACGTGCTTTGGTTTGAAGGCCGTATTCATGCTGTATCAGTATCACCTATCAAAAAAACAAAGGCAGTACTTGACTGATACTGAATCTAAAGAAGCACAAAAAGAGGTGAGCTATGGAGCAGTATTTAATACGATGTCTTGAGCAGTCTTTGATTGCACGCACATGTGATTATATAAAAGGTAAAGTCTATGCTGGAGTTAAGAGTCCCTCTCAGCTTACTCTAGTCTCCATAGCATTAAGCGACTTGTAGCATCATTAAACCTCCCTGGATGGGAAGTTAGTCCATCGCAGGGTTACCCCCACCACCTAGGCTAAGAGAGATACTGTGAGAGTAAGAATTCTCGCCCAAAAACACAACACATTGATCGCAGACCTCTCGAACTGGACTCGAGCGCACGACCGTCGAGCAACCGCGCCTCCCACTCGCCTTATGATTGTGAGTAAAAATTGTGCCTTCCTCTCAGCAAATCAAAATCAAAACCTACCGGGCAAAAGTGCATCACGACTTACTCGTTTATGCTTTCCAGCGATGCTTACCATAAGCACTTTTTTCCTTCTAATATTTCCATTTTTATGATTGGTCAGTGCCACTAAGAGCCTTGTATAGTTAACACAGTCTTTCTGTAGCTCCCAGCGATGGGTTCAATCGACCAGAAATATAATGGAGAACATTGGTACCAGAAAGACCCCAGGACACCTATTTTCATTTATGTCACGTTAGTAATAATTGCACATGGAAAACATTTATTTGAATATACTTTTTATGTGCGTTTTTACAACAGTTGCCTCCGGCACAACCCAGCGAAATAATCAGCATCGCCTGTTTAGCACTCAGCTACTCAGTCGACGTAAACAAGAAGAAAACAAAAAACGGCAGAGGTGAGACTTTAACCTTGGGGTTAATCATAATCTTAGCCAGGACAGATCAGCTCCAAATGCGCAATGATACTTGAGTGTACACTTGACATAGGACGGTTATTTTAAACTGGATTGTCAGAGAGAATAAACGAGGAGACAGATACACTCACTGAGTGACTGACAGACCGACCGACCGACCGACCGACCGACCGATCGACTGGCTGGCCGACAGACTGAGTGACTGAATGACCGACTGACCGACCAACTGATCGACCAACTGGCCGACAGACCAATTAACCGACGGACCGACCAACTGACCGACCGACCGACCGACCGACCAACCGACAGACCGACTGAAAGACCGACTGACTATTTTGAATTTTTTACAGACAAGCTGGCTCCTGAGACTAAAGTAGTTCAAACAGATCAACCAGAAGGCACATCTCCCTTGATGATGAGAAATGATTTAGATAATGTGTTCGAGGAGGAGGAATCAACAAGCCTTTCCAGTGAATCAAATGGAGAAATCGACTCTTTCCCAAGCGATAACTTGGGTTTTGAGAGCTTAATGTCTCTAACGCCTGAGCGAACAGATTTTACCAAAATGAAGTTACATTCTACTCAGAATGGTCATTCTCATAGTCAAGACAATCCAAGAGTGAAGGTAAAAGAGGCGAAGACCAGAAATGGACAAAACCAAAAACCAATTCTAAAGAATGTCTCTGTTTACTTTAATCCTGGAGAGTTGGTAGCCATCTTGGGTCCCTCGGGATCTGGAAAGACAACTCTACTAGATTTGCTGACAGGAAGGCGAGAAACAGGCAACAGCCAGGTACGTGGGACGTCATAGGAAAACTCATACGAGAGTCAAAATATATTTAAGGAGCTTATATTAGAATATCTAGTTTTTGTATGTAGAATACAGATTTAAATGGAAAATTAAGAGCATTGTAAAAAGTTGGAACAAAGGAAGTTTTATAAACTCAAAAAGGTAAAGAAAGAGCTTGAACAGGATTCAAATTCTTGGCCGTCTCCGATACAGGTGCAGCGCTTCGGCTGAAAAGATTGTGGTGCCATTTACTGTGTGAACAGTCATGCTGGTCACTCATGCAAACCATATATGCGATTGAAAATACGGTCTAAGAAGGACTATTTGGTCCCACAGAAATTCCGCTATTCATCCGTTTACCTCAGTGGCTCTAAAAAGAAGTGTACGTTTACCTCGCTACTTTGCAGATCGTTAACTACTTGCTCTCTATGCGCCTCCACACTGTGATTAAGCTTTACAACGTTTTCTTGATTCGCAGGGTGCGGTGTTTATAAATGGAGTTCCTAGAAGTCTTGGTAATGTGCACAAATGGTTCGCTCGCAAGATTGGTTACGTGTTACAACTGGCTGTGCCTTACTATGAAGAACTCACTGTGCGGCAGAATCTCTTTTTCGCTGCTCACATGCGGCTGCCTAAATCAATGAGCAATGCACAGAAGTTTGAACGCGTTGAACAGATACTTGTAGAGGTATTTCACTCTTGCTACTTTCGAATGATAAGTGAACCTCAAAGGAATGATGAAAGCTCCATGTTCCCTGTTTCTCATTCTTCATTTTCCGTTTCTCGTCGTCATAACATACTTCGAGTATGAACACTAGAGTCTGCTGTAAGACACAAGACCCCAATTTAAGGCACTAGTATCCGATTTTGTGCACTATAGTCCGATTTTAGACACAATTAACCGACTTCAGACACAAGTGATCTATCTCTGACACTAGTTTCCGATTTTAGACACAAGTGTTCGATCTTAGAACTAGTGTCCGATTTTAGACATTTGTGTCCGATTTTAGACATTAGTGTCTGATTTTAGACATTAATGTCTGAATTTTTTACACTAGTGTCCTATTTAAGACACTAGTGTTCAATTTAAGATTCTAATGTCTGATTTTATTTGCTATCGTGCAATTTTAAACACAAGTGTTTCTTTTTAGAAACTAATGTCCGATTTTATACACCACCGCTCGATTTTAGACACAAGTGTTCCTTTTTAGACACTAGTGTTCGATTTTATACACTACTGTTTGATTTTAGACACAAGTGTTTCCTTGAAGACATTGTTGTCCGATTTTAAACACTAATGTCTGATTTTATACACTACCGTTCGATTTTAGACACTATTGTCCGTTTTATAATAATAGTGTCTGATTTTAGACACAATGAGAGGGAATATTACATAGACTGTTCGTAGGGGATCAAGTTAATGTTATCGTGACAGCCAAAATCTCTCAACCTTCCCCCACCCCTTCCCCGGTGATAAATGATAAACTGGTCTCTTATTAGCTGTGGTTCCTGTGGTTCTTAAACTTGCCATCGATTCCACAACTTACCTGTTGCAGATCGGTCTTACGTCTCTGGCTGATACAGTTGTTGGTGGGTCTGTGGGTCAAGGTCTCAGTGGAGGACAGAAACGTCGATTGTGTGTCGCTCTTCAGATGATAAATCTGCCATCTGTGCTTTTCCTTGACGAACCAACTTCGGGTACGTTGTTTTAATAGCGAATTTTAGATTTCTCTTTAGTGCGTGTTTATATGTGTTTATACCTTGATTTTTTAAATGTATATTTTAAAAATTAGACGCATTCTCAAGATAGCCCTTCTTAATTCGTAAATATTCTTAAGCGTTCTGACGGATATATCCAAGTTATTTCAGTCCTTGGACGCAAAGTTTGGGGAAGTCCAGAGACCCCACTTCTCGTTAGAGGCAGTCTCACGAACATTGTCACTGGATCTCGTGTTGCAGTTATGATGTTCACTATCCCAATACTATAGAATCATTTAACCCTTGTTTAATTTCAAAATGCTCAAATTAACGTACATTCTTTAAAATCAGGTCTGGACGCATCATCTTCCCTGGAGCTGTTGAATCTTCTCAATGTTGTTGCTGAGACAGGCAGACTAGTGATTCTCACTATACATCAGCCGAGGGTGGAAATCTTCCATCTTTTCCACAAGATTATCCTTATGTATGATGGTCAGGTGAGCAAACCTTCCCTGTAAACGAGGACGAAGGGGAAGGGGGTGGGAGGTTTACCACTTAACATTGGTCCTAAGGTGGTTCCTCCAAAGAGGTCAAATTAAGTGTGAACCGAGCATGCTCGACCTGATGATGATGATGATGATGACGATGATGATGAAGTGTGAACTCCGTCCATACATACACACGCACACCCCTAACACTGACTCCAGCTTCAATAGCAGAGATAATGTTCATGGTAAAATCTAATATTTTTAGAATTATATCCATTAAAATTATTAGAAGATAAATAAGGAGGGCTTCCTTTTACGCGCTTATCAACCGTCACGCTCATGACTTTAGGTGGCGTATTACGGCGAGCCTACATCAGCCCCGACTCTCTTTCTTAAAGCCTATCTACAGTCAACAACTGAAGAATTTCGACTCAGTGAAGAAGCGCCAAAAATTGATGCCAAAAACCCTGCAGGTAAGCTGCAAGGTCCACCCTAAGATTGGAGCAATTAGTTATCCGAGGTCTAACATTGGTTTTGATTTAGTTCGTTCTAGGATTAATTGAAAAACTCGCACCTTAGCTTTATATCGCACAACATGAAAAATCAAAACTATTTGCGAGTTGGTCGCTTGCGTTTTTCCGCGCTTAAGGCCATGGAAAAGACGTGCTTTTTCTTTGAGTTCTGATTGGCTCCTTGAGATGCACGTCTTGGTTCTGATTGGCCGTTTAGATAAATTTGCATCTGGCTTTTAGACACTGGATCGGAAGCCGTTCTGTTCGTTGGTTAAGGGAGTATTTCGATCATATTACTCATAATGTTGTTCGCTTTTAATATAGGTTGGAATTCTCAACCTTTCAATCTTTGAAAAAAGAAAACAGAGAAAGGCAAAGATTTTGTCGCATAGCTAACAGGATTTAGCTCTTAATTTCGCCACTCTGTTAGCGACGACTGATCCCCCACTTCGCTCCACCTCAAGAACCCTGCTATCCTTACAAAATCCTCCGCCACTCCTCCCTCCCCCGCAAAAAATATGAAGTGGTCCTCAAGTTTAAATTTGGTGGAATTCATATGAAGGTAAAGGTAAAGGTAAAGAATAGACAATTCTTAAATTGAAAAGCATACGATTTACTTATCTATCCAGACACAATTATGGATATAATGAACTGCAGTGAGGCTCGCCGAGCCATCCTGGATTATTACCAAAGAAGTGGTGAGCCAGAGGCAGTCCAGGAAGCTATCAAAAAGGCACAGGAAGACGCAAGAAACATTTTTACTATGCAAAACATGAACTCCGACAAAGAGGAGTAAGTATTCTGCGTCGGTGTAGCTATCACGCTTCCCAAACCAGCATTTACACGAGATGTAGGCATCAGACACCATTTTTTTATGTTCGCAATCAAAAAGTGCCTTTGAAAATATGATTCTGATCATGTTTCGAGATTCATAAGAGTAACTTGCCCTTTCGAATACTGTCGTCAAATGAGCTGATGATTTGAGCATAGAGGCGGCCCTTTTTAATCTTGGTTAGTAACCTTGCCGTTTATCCGCGACGTAGCAAAGTCTGTCTACTGTTTCATAAATCTTAAAGGCTTTTTGAAAAAGGCTTCGTGCATAGTCGAATTTAAAGCACATTTGAAAACAACATTCGAACTTTCACGTATCTCTTCAGAGTTTTAAAAAAGCGTGAATGGATCACTTCAAAGCCTGTTATGAGTCTCATCAAAGCCTGTTATTATAGCAAATCATTGTTTTTTTCTTGGCAGGATAAACGATGCAGGAACATTTAACAGAATATTTGTGTTGGAAGGCCGAACTTCCCTGAGTCAAACACTTGCACAAATTTGCTATTTTCCTCTGATATTCTTCTTGTTTGGATTAGTAGTAGGTAGGTATGCCCTACCCCTGTCAAGAATAATGTTTGACCACACCTGTTTTAGGGTGAGGTAATGGTCTGGCCCAGTCAGCCACTGGTCCCGGGTATGGGCATGAAGTGGCCAAGGGTATTACTACTTCCCCCTGAATTAAATGCCATCACAAGGTTACCCCTCAGCATTTCATCAGGCTTCCCTGACAACTCACCGCCACCCATTTACGCTCCCGGGTGGAGAGAGGCACTGGGAGATCAAAGTGTCTTGCCCACGAAAACGACCTGGCTAGGCCTCGAGCCCAGACCTCTTGACCCGGAGTCTAGCGCACTAACCTGGATCAGAGACCATGAAATCGAGGACGTTTAATAAGTACCAAAGAACTACTATATTTTAAGATGTCGAGTGACAAGTGATTATTTCTTATCAGAATCGGAAGGAACAGACATTGGTTGAGGGCCAAATTTGAGAATGCTATCGAAACCATCCACATATACTACTTGTAAAGCTGTCTGACCAGAGATTGCAAACTTTGATTTCTGTGCGTCTTTGATGATTCAGGCTTCGCCCTCATTGCCTATCACGCAATACAAATTTATGAAATATTGGACACAAACCTTTTTTAATGTGTTACATAATTTCCCATCAGGAACGATTTACTTTCGGGCGCAGGACAAAGATGGGATTTTGCTGATGTCAGCATTTTGTGTCTATTGCTGCTGCAGCCCCTTGTTTCTCAGCTCAGTTCTAATGGCGCATCTAAACAAAGCTCTAAATGTGAGTAGATTGAGCATTCTGATTTTTGTATTAAATTTTTTTCATTACGATACTTTTTAAGGTGATTCCTCAGTGCGCATCCTGTACTGCGCAAAAAAATCACGTAATCGGGCGAATAGGCGCGCGCGAGAACACGGTGTCGTTTTTCCAATAAAAGGACCAGGTAAAGAGGTACGATGATCTTTAGCTCGTGAACGAGCACGGTGACCTATATTTTTTGTTCCATAATTTTGGTGTATAAATTTTCCCCTTTAAACTGGAGAAAACTACGAAAAATTCATCGAAGGGAAAAAAAGATATGGCTGAAAAGCGTGCACAAAGCCTGTTACTCGTGGATGCAAATCATGACCTTGCAAAGAACGACTCGAGGAACGTTTTGCGTGTATGCTGTTTAAATTTTCATGCATTTCAAATTGCTCCATGCGCTCGAGAAATTCTATCTATCAAGTTTCTTGAGTGTCACTTTAAAAAAACCTTGCTTCCAGCTGCAGCAAAATGTCAAAATGTACCGTGAACCGATCAAATAATTCGCGTGATAAGTGTCAGTACAGGCATAAATGATTTTTGTAAGGAGTAAGTTTGGCCCATTTTATCTCCTACACAAGCACGGTGACCTATCTTTCTTATTGTTTAGGAAAGTTGAAAAAAAGGTGTTCGATAAATTCATTTTCTGAGGAGTCGCCCTAAGGATTTCCTGTCGTACTGCATAAGTGTTACTATATTATATAAGGAAGATTTTCTGAAATAAGCACCTTCTTGGGCCCTCTTGGGGTTCAAGTCTGAATAAGAAAGGGGGGGGACTAAGGGTCATGCGTCTCCTCCGAGGCTAACAGACCACCATCTCTGTGCAAGACCTTAGTCGCGTAATTTAATGACAAGCAGATATTTACTGTATTTTTGTGCCTGCAGATATATCACCTTGAACGTGCTGATGGGTGCGGTCGGTCATATGAGAATGTGATTCAGACATACGTGCGCATTGCTGCTCTGTGTGTGATTCCAATTCTAGTCCGTTCGGCGATGTCTTATTTATTGGTAGGTTATGCAAATCTGGGTAACGTTAAAAATAAGACCTACAAGTTTGCCCGGTTGTGCTACACTCCCGAACACCGACTACCTCCCTTGCCCCCCTCCATGTTGGTCTGCAAGATGGTTTAGAAATATTGGCAGTTGACAACATTTGATGAGGGAGAGCGGCGAAAGTAAATCATAGACGTTGTTCTGAAGAAGTATCCTCATCGATTTTGCCTGAGTGTCCACTCTTAGACACACTTATTAGGTCACCGTCTCCCTCCCCTCCCCTTGTAAATGTTGGTTTGCAAGATGGCATAAAAACATTAGCAGAAGACGGGCGATAGAACGTCATAGCCGTTGTTCTGAAGAAGTGTCCAAAGTAATTATATCTCGGAGTTAAGTTATCCCTTTGCAATTATGAGAAACAGCTTATTATACCACGCATAGAATGCATTTTAAATAATGCAGATTTTGCATGTTATGTCATACATGAATGATCGTGCGCAAGCGCGTATGTCACCAAGCAGAAGTGTTGAAAATGAACATGCGAGGCAAACTGCAGTGACAAGCATAACGAGAGCTACAAGCTTTTTACAAGACTATTAGTCTTATAAAGTTGCCTTTTCGTATGCATGCCTCAGCTTACGCCTTCAAGAGTGATCGTTAAACTGTTTACAGGAAAGTTTCACCATGATCATTTTAACAGTCAAATCTTAAGAAGTAGTTGGGGCATGCGAACCGAAATTCAAAAACAAATATTTTTGAAAAATTCGGGTCCAATTTAACACGTTGTCACCACCGACTGCCCTTTCTCTCGACCAAAATTAAAATACCAAAGAACAAGGACATTTAAAGATATTTCTGTTCTATTGACGTCACACACGTAATAGGTAGATATTGACATTCCATCCTGTTCATAATCTCCATGAGTAGAAACTACTTCTCGGGATCCAGCATGCCAAACACATTTTCCAGCATTTTTGTCCCAAAACACCGATTATCGAATTCAGAGACAGCGGGTGAATAAAGCGATAAGCTTTCCCTTATCAGTGAATGTATCTCTCTCCTGTGTGGCTGAGATAAACATAAAAAAAAATTTGTATGTGAAAAAATTGATAATAAACAAATTAAATGTATATATCCTGGATTTTTTCTTCTTTCCTCAGGTCATGACGTCATATGATTTGAAGACATTTTTCTTGTTAATAATCATCTCATTGGTTTTAAACCAAACCTGGATTGCAGTCTACATGATGGTGATTTGTGCACATCCGGGATTCGCTAGTCGCATTTGTCCGATGGTATCCGCCATCGGAGGCTTCGCGGGGGGCTTTTTAGTACCCAGACCTCAAATGCCGGCTGGGTGAGTGAAAAATTATCGACTTCACTAACATATCATCAAGTTTGCTCCTTCAACGACTTCGTCATCTTAACGACTTTATAAACTTAACGAAGTCCGAAAGTTGCCGAAGTTGTTAAGATAACGACGTCAACAACTTAACAACTTCATTGACATATCAGTCAACGCCTCAGTTAAGGTAGGTCACGACACTAGAGTAATAGCGTGTTGGAATAGCAACGTCATTACTACTAAAATATTTCCCCGTAGATTATTGAGGAGAATTTGGTCTCATAAGAAAACAAAATATTCTGTATCGAACTGTTTGAGTATTTTTCATAATCTTATAACAAAATCGGCTTCTAAAGTTACCTGTGATGGAAGTGAACGAAGGCTTAACTGTGAAGTACCACGATTATTGCAGCTCTGAACTTTTAATTTTTCCTAATGGTGTCTATTTTTATTTACCTTAGGTACAACCTACTATTCTACATCAACCCACAATTCTACGGTTATTCTGCTATCTCCAAAGCCTTATTACAAAACCTCCGCCTAAAATGTGTTTACGAGTCCAAATTGAATTGTATCAGTACTGAAGGCAATGCTGTTTTGGCCGGATTTGGGTTCGACACGGTCAATATTTATGAAAATTTGGCGGTAAGTTTTCCTTTTCTTTTGAATATAAGAAAGATTACTTCCGTTGAGCCAGAAAAGACAGTAAATTTATAGAGTGATTGGTGCAAACCTTTTCACCCAACGTAAAGATAAAACCAGGAACAAACTTAAGTCGCTTTTCCTTTATCTTCTCATATAATCGACACCAAATTGATTTCTACAACTACATCGGACATGTATGTTCGACGTCCATGCTATACATGCTAATTTAAAATGTTTCAAAAACGTATACTAAGACACGACACTCTTTATATTCCAGTACTACCATTAACATTGCTCTGCAGAAAAACAATTACGAATGAACAATGAAATTAATTTAATGCTGATTGTTCCTCTGATTACAGATAATGCTTGGGATGACAGTAATATCATTAATTTTCTCCTGGCTGTTTCTGGAAGTAAAAAACATGAAGATGAAATTCTCCAAAACGTATGTAGCGGTTGTTTGTTTATGCATAGCCTCTTCTCAAAGTAACCTCAATGTTAGTTCGAGTAACGTCAGAAAATTGGAAAATATCGGGAAAAAAAATTGCAATTTACGTGTTCATGTTGGTCGAATTACACGACAGAGCCAAATGTTAACTCTACAAGGGAAACGGTGTTTTCTTAAATAAATTCACTCTAGACAGAAATTAACATTTGAACGAGCCTGGAAATATTCGTGGGTTTTTGTATGTAGTCTAAGATGCCTTCACAAGGCAAATTCGGTAAAGAGTTGAACGATGGCGTCTCTGAAATTAGGCGTTTCCTTCATCTACACAACTCAAATCCAAATTTTACAATGGACAGTAATGCCTCAATCTGATTGGCCAATTTACCGCTTGGGACAAGAGCATAGACAACGCTGCTAGCGTCCATGTGTCATGTGATTCCTTTACCAGCTCTTAACCCTTTAAATCCCAAGATCTGATTCTAAATTCTCCCCTCTAGCTGCTACACATTTGTTTTTAAGTCAGTTATAAGAATTTGGTGTCAGATCAAGAGAACAACCTCTACTTGACAAGTTTAAGTATTCTCATTACCTGTATGCTGAATAATGTCTACATATAATGGGGAGAATTAACATGTTAATCAACTCTAGGGGTTAAAGGGTCCAACATGGATGACTCGGAAATTTCGACGTCGACATTGTGGTTAAAAAAAAAAATCGACAATAGTTTGGCGTGGTCTGTACTCTTAACCGTTTATCTCCCAAAATCTCGTTAGTTCTCCTCACTGCCTACATACAGTTCTCGTGATGTTAGTTTAGAGAATTTAGTATTGGATCAACTTATAATCCCCTTATTTATATTTTTCTCATTACTTGTCAGCTTTGTATTGTATTGATATTGTAAGGAGAAATTCTGTCTTGGTCACTCATGGGAGTTAAAGGGTTAACAACAACTATATTTGTCATCACAGTGGTCAAAATTTGTTGCGGATTTGACCATCAGCGAATATAGTTGTCGATAATACTACACACCACGCTAAATCACCGTCGATTAGTTAAATAGCACACCGACCCTTCTTCAAAATATCAACTTGTATGAAAGGCGTATTTTTACGTAAACAAAAACAGCAACAGTTTATCCGCAGTCTACATTTTGATTTGAACGTCAAAGGCAGACCCCGATCCAATAATATGCAAAAACAAAAACGCTCTTTGCCTCCTCCCCCCGTCCTCCCCTCCCCCCCCTCCCCGTCACCCCTCTGCTATACCAGAAATGTCGGACGACTCACAATCACTCAACTAATCTTATTGTTCTATTGACTTAGGTCATCAAAAATATCAAGGTCACAAGTGGATAAAATACTAGAAGAATCAATCGAGCTTCTAAATGAGGCAGGCCACACAGCTAACCCCACTCGCCGGAGGTCCACGTTAGGCATTGTTACCCATGACGACGGACTGCACACCGTGAAGCTTCCGGACAGTCCCATTTCTCGCGAGTACCAGCCAGATCCAGATGTTGTTTCTTTGATGCCACAAGCGAGTCCTGTCATGTCTCGAGAGAGTCGGTGGGCGATTGTTCGTAGGCGTATGGCGGAGAGAAGGTTAAGCACCCATCTTGAGATGCAGAACGTTCAGAGAATCGTCAGACATTCCACATTTATACAATCAAAACAAGTTCAGTCTCAAATGGCAAGGACGCGAAAGAAAACTATACCTTTGCCACCGAGAAGTAGACACAACAGTGACCCTGGAGCAAACGGACAAAAACCAGAACCAAAAACGAAACGTCACCAGTCATACCATGAAACCAACGATCACAACCCTATGAATCTTGAACTGAAAATGACAACTTGGCAACCCACGCCACGACCAAAGAGTGTCTGTTTTCCTGTGGTTGAAGAGGGAGATCAAGAAATGACGAGTCGTAGCTCGTCATTGAAAAGTATCCGTGAACATGATGACGCGTTTGGCTCTGTGGAAGAAGAAGAGGATACCGCGAATATCGTTGTTGACACCAAGTTTTAAAAATAGGGAAAACCCAAAAGAGCAATAGACATTTTTTCCTTCATTACGTAATTAATAGTAAAAAAGTCACATTCAAAGACAAGTGCTGAGTAAGTAGGCTTTAATATCAGTTGACTTCTCTGATGTCACAACGTCTTTATAAATACTGATTTATTTATCATGCACAATCTTCACAGTTAACTGCACATTATTCCAAAATACAAAATAAAAAATGCAAAAATTTAAATCTGGTTCTCCTGCTTTACATCTGCATGTGTCGTCCTTGATATTTGGAAATTGTAAAATTGAGGAAATTCCGCCGTGTTATACATCCAGACTTTCAGTATATTCTATGATGGAGACTTTCTTCACAGATTTTTGTTTATCCTTCTGAGCCTCACAACCAGACACATGTTGCTGGCCAGCGCCTTCTTCATCTCCTCTAGATCGTCCTTGCTCTTGAATTTCAAAGCCTCTAGCTTCATTGTCGAAAGGTATCTTCACAGTGTGTAGTTGCAAGACATCTCCTTCACTGGATCCAGTAGCGCTTTCTTCTTCCCTTTGCTTCTTTCCAGCTTCAGTCTCCTGGTTAAGAAGGTCTCGCACCTCATCCTTGTTCGTCTCACCGCTTCCTCCGTCCACTTCCGATTCTTCAATCACCTCCTGAAACAGCCCCTTCCTGCAATCATCTTGGAAGCGACTATTTCTTTTGGTAATAAACTCTGGCCTGTTAGCTTCATTTGAAGCCGATGCAGCCATGGTACTTCTTCGAGCAACGACTGCCTTCTCCTTCGCTCTCCTTCGCACGGATTGGGAGTGTTTTATTGTGTAGCGCCGGGCGATTTTCTCAACTTGTGACAAACGCTTGTCAAAGTCCATTTTCCTCTCCTCTACGCGCTGTTTGGTGGATCTCCAAAGTTCTTTCCCTGAAATGCTCACCAATCGCCTTCGGCGTACAACGTAGTCAACATTCTCGCCATCGATTGCTTGTTCAGTGTTTTGGACGCTATTCGCATCACTAGACTGACGCCTGTGTAAGGGAAGCTTGACAGAATGGAAACCTTGGTTGCCACTGATCAGTCCAAGCCTGGATTTTGCGGATCTCCGGTTGCGAGTGAATGCTTTTAAGGGTATCTCCGGTAGTATTTCATCCTCGTCCTCATCGACTAAGGTTTCGTCAATTGGCGTCATTGGCACAACCGCAACCTCCAATTTCTCCTCTTCAGGCTCGGTTAAAAAGGCTGGGGGACTGGGAATAACAAGATAAAAAACAGAATGATACTTTTGATACTTCATATTCGAAGTCTGGTTCAAGGCAATTTTGAAAGTAAAAATGCTCTTTTGTCAGAACTAATATTCGAATCCTACAAAAATTCTTGATTATACAAATCAGAGCTCGGTTGAAGTGACTCAAGAACCATGAAAACGGCTTAGCTTCAAAAGAATTTTAAAACAATTTGAGCGATGAAGCTTAGAAGCCTAGAAGCCTGGAAACCAAAGTTTGTAGCGCGGTAAAAGTTGTCAGCGGTTGATATAAGATGTAAATCAGATAAACAACGTTACAAGGTGAAAACAGAGAGAAAGACTTACGTTTTAGTGAGGGAGGGGATGGTGAAGTTTTTCGCTTCTAAAAACAACCAAGCGAGAAGCAAAGATAACACTGTCATCCCTAGCATTATCTGAAAAAAACAATATTTTAATTAAAATGAGGATGTCTTAAATACGACGTAAAAAAAATTTTAATAACAGTAGGAATGAAGCATTATAGTTGGTCTTGCAATGTAGTCACTTCCAATTGGGATCCCCTCTTTTCGACTCAACATTGAAAAGTGAGAACACAGAAAGACAAACGATAATACTTCGCTTCTTCTGTATTCACCACGAGGAATAACCATAATCTTCTTGACAACAAAACAATTGTAGTTAAACGACAGTAAGAATTGGGAGACATTTCTGGAGTAATGGAAAAACGAAAAACGATAGTTTTTCAATAAAGAAAAAGAGCCATTGGTAGCTTGAAGAAAAATCAAACTGAAAGGCTAGAGCGAGGGAAAGAGAGTGTATTCATGTACTCGAAATTGGTTACAGGTTTGCAAGTGATCAATTAAAAAGGCAGATGGAGTTTTCTAGATCAATCGCATGGCACAGACAAGCAAAACCTAAGTAACACCAGCTTTTAATTTCAGCACTCACTGAAGTTGAAATTTCTCTTAAGAATACCTAAGAATGAAAACTCATCAAACTTATGACATGTTTTCCTGGTCGAGTCCCCCAAGAGTGTACAATAAATAAACAACATCACTAAAATCTGTCCATAATAAGAAAACAACGCTAACAATTAAGAGCTAACAACTTAAGTCAACATTTATGCACATCAACCGTCCTCAAGTCACCAAAACTAACTCACCACCAAGTGTTCGTAGACATTGACGGTATCAAAGCCAAACCTGGCCAGTACAGCATTACCGTCCGTACTGATACAGTTCAGTGTGGACTCATATTCACATTTCAATCGAACATTTAACAACAGGACTTTAGTCATTGCTGAGTAGCCATAAAATTGGGGATTGATGTAAAATAGAAGGTTGTATCTGAAATGTAACCAGAAATAGAGAGACGTAAAACAAGTGTTTAAAACGTAAGAAACTACTTGCAAATTGTGCCAGTCGCTTTGATTTCAGCTAGATAATGGTAGCTTCTGAGAAATAGAAAAGCCTAATTCATTAGGGTTAAAGAATTTCACATGACTGTGCGCCAACAGGAAAAGTTACTCCTTCATTTGATTTTGGAGTTTGCCGGTCTATCATAAACCTTCGTTATTTATCGAAACTTCCTTGTTTTAAGGTACTGTTCCTCAGAATCAAGCCATTACATTTGGATGTTTCGTAATCGAGATGAATGACCAAAACCTAATAGGGTTTCTTAATTTATAATCCTGTCTTATTTCAGTCTTCTTCCCTCCCTCCTTGCGATCATGACTTATCCTGACGCCATTATATGTTTCTTTCAAAAATTCCACTTATTTTTGATAAAATTCTGGCAGAATAAACATGTGACAATTCCTATTTCAAATGTCATTGCCCTGCTCCAGAGAATTCCAACAGATTCTTAAACGCACACCTTAAATAACAGGAGCTTACAACACTCACACAACTGGCATTTGAGGTCTGGGTACTAAAAAGCCCCCCGCGAAGCCTCCGATGGCGGATACCATTGGACAAATGCGATGAGAGATTCCCGGATGTGCACAAATCACCATCATGTAGACTGCAATCCAGGTTTGGTTCAAAACCAATGAGATGATTGTTACCAAAAGGAACTTCCACAAATCATACGACGTCATGACCTGAGAAAATAAGACAAAAATGCAGCAACCTTACCAAAAAAATCGTTTATAGTGTCGATTTTTTCCAAAATTAAACTTTATAATTTTTCCTTCATTTGTGTATCAACAAGGCAGAAGAAATCAACTTCCAATCGGGCGTTTTACGTCACTTTTTCTTCATTTTGCCTTATGATTGGTCTAAGAAATTTTCCGCTACCGCCCTCTCTGCCGAGCTAATACAAAATTGAAATCAACCATGTCTTGACGAGATTTTCCCTTCCCTAAAATCACTCTTTGGATGGAATGAAGTGAATCCTATATCCTTTTGCCTTCATTTTGCCTTCAAAGCAATCATAGGTAATGATTAATTAATTAAAACGTATAAATGATAGTAAAAGAACGTACCATTAAGTAAGACATAGTGGAACATATGATCACCGGTAAAGCACATAATGCTGTCGTCCGAACAAACGTTTGTACCACGTTCTCGTAAGATCGACCACAACCGTCTTGACGTTCAAGGCGAAAAATCTAAGAATTAAAAATGCACGAAAAAGTTGTAAATGCACTGCACTAATTATGAAACGTTTTCAATCTTAAAAGCATAACCGCACTAAGTATTTCTCGGTGTCAGTAATGTAACTCGGCCACCGTAAAGAGTTTTTAGAAATTCTTTACGATGGCCAATTTATTTTATCAACTCGGTTAATAAAACCAAATTATCTTGTTGATAACCCCCTCTGACGCAGTACCACAGTTTCTTTAAAAACTTAACCCATTGTTTCTGAAGTTTACGCAGTTTTTTTTGGGTTGATGTTTTTGCGGTAGCTAAGGACCAGTAGTGTTTGTTCTTTTTATTATTCCCGTGAAATGATCTCAACCATCATGCTTTGCACCATCACAGAAGGACCACACATGCGCGAGCGTAAAGTGTGATATGCTTTGCACCATAATTCCAAGAGAAAGAGAGGCTCTTGAATATAAGTCTTTAGGGTACTTACATCCAAAGCTTTGTTGAGGTGCGCCATCAGGACAGAGCTTAGAAACAAGGGACTGGCACAGCAGTACACACAGTACGCAGACATCAGCAAAATTCCATCTCTCTCCTCAGCTTGCCAGTAAACAGTTCCTTCAAATTAAAGGTGAAATAAAACCAACATAATTTGCGGTTAACAATTGTTAAACATATTGCAGGAGCCTAGGATAAAGTAAAAATCTCGGGCCTTTGAGAGAATTTAAACCAAGGCCATTTCCAATTTCGTGTTTGGACGCTCCACCGACTGAGCCACAGAGAACTGGAGGTGAGTGTTAAACTACATCAAAATTTATCATTCAGCTAGTGATAGTGTAAAAAATTTCACCGAAGTACTTAAAACACTGTTAGAAATACTGAAACTTTCGCAAAACCACATAATTAAGGAAGTCTTTCAGCGCGAGCAGTTCTCACATTCTGTTCGAGTAACTTTCATTTCACTGAGTTCTATATTAGTCATGGCGTGACAAAAGAGTGACCCAGTCCGCTCTAACAAGCTTGACTAAAGCTATGGATAACATCTAGGATTATCTACATACCTACGATGATCCCAAATGTGAAAAATATTAATGGAAAGTACAAGATCTGTCCCAATGTTTGCTTTACAGAAGTTCTGCTCTCCAGCACAAAGATTCTGTTGAATGACCCGGCTCCATCGACACTAGAAATAAAAAGTAACAAATCAGAGTTAAATTAGCAAACTCTTTGTACGGACAAGCAAATAAAACCTGTCAAATAAGATGCTTTGAACGCTGAGAAGTTCCAAAATCTCACATACATGTGGTGCAATGCCACCTTACAGTTAAACGTGGGCAATGTGCGTTTGTCCATCGTGGTTGCGATGATAAATGAATGTTCACATTTGAAAAGCAAAGCTATCAATTAAGGATGGCAAGGCTTTGATTGCTACGATGCTAATCTTCGTCAGGCGTAAAAGTGACTCTAGATCGTTCCTTCATTTATCACCGTACGTACATCATTTTCATTTTCTCCATGGTAACCGTCTTACTGGCCTTCTCCTGCGATGTTTTAATGGCTTCCTGGACTGCCAGTGGCTCTCCGCTTCTTTGGTAATATTCCAAAATGGCACGACGAGCTACACCGCAATTCAGTAAATCCATAATGGTATCTAAAGGGTAAATTTGAAAAGACAATATTGAAAGGCTCGTCAGTATTTGTAACATAAATTCTGACGCGAAAAAGTAAGTTTAATTCCTGAAGTAATTTCAAGTAAGTGCTGAGAATCGAAAATGATTGCACTGGTTTTAACGTGCGTCACTTCGTGATTGATTTAGAAATCTCGCCCCATTCTCTCAACCAGTCAGATGTAAAGGTGAAATCATTCGCGCGTTTTCCCGCGCTTTCGCCAGCTGCATGTTTTTATATCGAGTTTTAATTGGCTCCTCGTCATAATTCCCTTTGCTCTGATTGGCTTTTATGGTTACTTTGTGATAACGTTAGTCAGTTAAAAAGCAATTTCAACACGGACTGAGTACTCTAACGCGGAACAACATCGTAGGTGCAGCATCTTTTGCAAAACAGAAGGTCGAATTCCACGAAAGATATATCCATTTGCTCAAAATTAACATTTCCAATTGTGTGACTCGCGATAACAAGAAAGACCTTTTCACCTGCGGGATTTTTTGCGTCAATTTTCGGTGCTTCCTCACTCAGCTGGTATTCCTCAGAAGTTGCAGTGTAAGCTTTGATAAAAAGTTCTGGTGCCATAGAAGGTTCCCCATAGTAGGCTACCTAGAAAAATAATGTAACAGTAAACAGTTAAACAAACAGAAAAATCACTAACCAACTAAACGAAAGGAAACAAAGGTACAAACAAATAAACGACCAAAAGAACGACCAAAATACATACTGTTGAAGGAAACAATAAATGCACGAACGCACTTACGCACGCACACGCGTATGAACGAGCACACAAACGAACGAAACGAAACCTTTCCTAAAGATCACCGTTCGAAAAGAACGAACAAGTACGCAAAAGCGAAGGAGCGAACAATAAACAAACAAGTAGACATAAATGTGCACTAAAGTACGCACGAACGTAAAAACGAACCAACAAACCGAAGAACGACAGAAAGATCGCGCAAGAGCAGATCAACCAAACAAGCGACGACCAGTTAGCAACCAACTGTTTTACCTGACCATCGCACAGGAAAAGAATCTTGTGAAAAAGATGGAAGATTTCTAGCCGGGGCTGATGAATAGTGAGAATAACAAGTCTGCCTGATTCAGCAACAAGATTGAGATGATTCAACAGCTCTAGGGAAGACGATGCGTCCAGACCTGGTTTAAACATAAAATGTGAATTAAAATTGATTTTAAACCGAGGATGGTATCACACTAGGCGGCAAATCACAACAACGCGTTGCAGTCACAAATTGCAGCTAAAAGTAGCTTCGTGTCGCCGAAAAAACAGTCACACAGGTTTACAATTCTGCTTAAGATCGTATAAAGAAAATAAGTCATAGCGACTTGTTTGGAATAGTTAAATGAATACTAAGCCTCGATCTTAAGGCAGCGGTGCTGTGTATGACCATTTGTAGTAGTGAGCACGGGAAACAGCGGGGGAAAGAGAGGGCAATGAGAATCATGGTGGAGAAATGCAGGAATGGAGGATATAACGGAGAGGCAGAACAAACCCGCCAGGCCACTCAAGGCAATGACGCTGTAAGGTCTATAACCAGAGGGAAAGAGGAAAGACCAGGGGCGTAGCTAGGATTTTTGAAAGGGGAGTTCACACTGTGTCTAATAGAGGGCTCTCAGCGCCGTGTTTTCTTTATGTGACAAAGGAGGCTTGCAAAGGGGGAAGGGGTGGTCACGGGCACCCCAGGACCCCCCCCTCTCTCGCTACGCCATCGGAGGGGGGGGGGGGCTGAGGGATAAAAGCTGGGGCATTACAGTACTACAGACATCAAAAGAAATATGCATCTCTTTGCCCTTTACTTCTCCGTCTTGCATGTAGTGGCAAATGCTTATCACAGAGAATGAACGCTTGCTTTATCACGATTTAACAGTCACTCACCTGAGGTTGGTTCATCGAGAAAAAGCACTGAGGGCATGTTAATCAACTGGAGAGCTACACATAGGCGACGTTTCTACACCAAACAGAAATGTGGTATGAGATTTTGGAGTACTGAAGTTTAGTAAACTAAAAAAGGTACAGGAGGTGATGAAATCCTGCTAACGTCGATTTCGACCGGTTATTTCAATCCACCGTTCGCCTGCTTTTAATCCTCGTAAGAAGTGCAGTTGATATCTTACTTACTTGGCCTCCACTCAAACCCAGGCCCGTTGATCCTCCTACAACCGTGTTAGCCATTTGTGTCAATCCAGTCTGGTACAGAGAGAAACAGAATCAGTTTAAACTTACTTGGCTATAATATATTCTCTTAAGGTGCAGAGAGCAGTGTACACTGGGCTCCTTCTAAAAGAACGCCTCTAAGCCCCAACTATTCAAGGCCAAGGTCCTTCGGGTGTATCACACTTCTTAACTCACGGATTGGCAAGGTATTTACTCAATCTGGTCTTATAGCTTAAAGCTAATGAGAGTCCCTTTGTAATACTCGTTCGGCAGCCCCAGTTTTGTGTGCCCCTGAATCTGCTTTATGGACCCTACTTCCAGACTCCAGTAAATTAAAAAATTTCTTCTAAAGTTAAACCAAAGGTTATCGAAAGTGAATAACTAACCTCAGCAATAATTTGTTCAACGCGTTCGTATTTCTTTGCAGCACTTGTTTCTTTGGGTAGCCGCATGTGAGCAGCAAAAAAGAGATTCTGCCGGACAGTGAGCTCCTCATAATAAGGCACAGCCAGCTGTAACACATAACCAATCTTACGAGCATACCAGTCTTGTACTTGACCCAGGCCAACTCCGTTGATGTACACCTGGCCCTACAGGATATATGAGATAGAACAGATATGGAGGTAAGGGATAAATAGAGTTCACTTACACCACCTGTTTCAAGGTACAGTTTTTGAAGGGTTGAAAAGGGTTTTAATACCTCAAAGGAAAGAAAACAGAAAAAGTGGAATAAAACGAAAGTGCGCAATAAAATTCTTCGGAAATTGAAAAATAAGCTGATCAAATTTTTCAAAAATCGTGTGAAGCAATCCTTGTGTTATGAAGTATTTAGTTAGTTTATAGTTAGTAATTTATTTAGTCAGTTCAGTATGATTTAATCTTTTGTCTATACTACATTTTTTTGAGCTGTCGTGATGAGTTTCCGAATTGAGACAATCTTGTCTAACTTCCTAAAGCGGACGTGCTTAGTTTGTCTACTAGCCCTACTTTGGACCCACACGAAAGTTTTTGTTTTGGCTAACGCAGTCAGAGGTTGATTTAGTTCATCGGAAGCATTATGATTAAGTTCTTTGTTATTCATTTCGAAAGTCTCGTGAAATTTTTTAGTTTAGTGTTCTACCAACAAATGTTTATTAGGGTATAGTTGCAACGTTGAGTATGACTGTGTTTACAGTTTAATAACCCGTACAACTGAAGCACGACTCCGCATGCGCTCGAACTCGGAGCACCAGAACATGCCGAAACATCCCGTAACATGCTAATTCTATCATGCCATGCAAAATCTTGTATAGAAGCCAACCTAGTAGTGACATGCAACAAGACAACCGTGCATCGTACGGAAAGCTTCGATTTCCGACCGTGTCTTTCTCGGAAAGGTTCGGTTGTCGACCATTGTCGCAGATTTCAAGAGACGCGTACCGCAATCACATGTTTCAAAGGTTTATCGAATATGTTGAACCGCCCTGCAATCATATAGTTTATTCAATTTGAGATAAATTCAAACTTAACTCCTTTGTTCCTTAAGAAGAAGCGATAAAAAAACTCACACAAACCTTAAAATGTCCAGAGCGCCGCCTTCCTGTTAACAAGTCAAGTAGTGTTGTCTTTCCGCATCCAGACGGTCCCATGATCGCCACCAGCTCTCCAGTATTGAAATACGCCGACACACCTTTAAGAATTTGCTTTTTAGAGGGGTTACCATCAGCCGCATCCACAGGGATTTGTTTAATTTCTGTGTTGTTATCTTGTAAGAGTGCCACTACACTTCCCGTATGGGACCCCCAAGTGGAGTGACCGTCCAATTTGGCCAACGAAGACTCAGCTTGAGATTCTTGGGAAGTTTCCGTCGATTCTGTTTCCAGATTCGTAGAACCATTTGTCAACTTGGAAGGTATAGAGTTCAAGTCGCCGTCTATCTCGTCATCTTTACTTTCCTCATAATCCTGTCCATCGCTGCCAGAGTCTTCCTCCACAAGACAACCTCGAAGTGTAAGCGATGTTTTACTGTTCCTATCTGTTCTGATCACACTGCTGGTTTCTTCAGAGCTGAGGTCTGACAAAGGGAACAAATATCAACTCAAGCATTCTTCTTAAAACGTACAAGGATTTACATTACAGCAGTTCCAAAAGAAGCGCACAAAAGAGCGTAAAAAGGCCCACACGCTGTCTTAAAACCTTCTTGGCAATGTAGGTGTTGATTTTTGTAGTAACAGGAAAACCTTAGGCTCAAATCATTTCTAACGATCAATGCAAAATCTTAACCTGGACTCCAACGGGCGGATAACGATAACCTACGGGTAAATTGCTATCCATCGGATAATTTTTAACAAAATGTACCGCGCTATACACCGGATAAAGATTTATGCAGTGGATCGCATTATCCACCCTTTAACATCCTTTAAACGACCGTGCCTGGCCGCTTTAGAGCTAACCAATAAGCTCCCTACGGGCAGCTAGAATCACTCACAAAACGCGAAGGGCCTGGAACCTATTTTGACGTTTAGCGATTTCCCCCGTGCGGTCTTAAAAATTGGGGAAAACATAAAAGCTGTAAAAGGTCTCAATCAAGATTTATTGGAAGGCGTAATCCTTCAAACTGTTTTGTGAAACTCTATCAGTATTCTGTAGTAAACAATGTACAATTTTACTATTCTTACCATCGTCAGTTTTCTTTTTCTTTTTCTTTTCCTTTACATCCACTTCATATGTTAAGGACAAGCAAGCTATACTAACAGTTTCACCCGCCTTGCAAAGTGGAAGCTACAAAAAAAGACATATGAACCGTGAATGTTTCATTGATCCTCCTCACTTTTTAACCCCTCTCTTGTAAACTACACCCCCCCTCCTAATATAATAACCCCCCGTCTCTAATAATCATCCACTATCTATATGACTTCTCCCATTGAGGCCCCCCCCCCGCAAGTTCCGCTCTAGTTAACTCCACCTTCTCTTAGGACCCCCCCCCCCCTCTTTAATGAGCCTTCCTCTCTATTAAAGCCCCTCTCTATCAAGCCCCCTTTCTATTAGCCTCCTCCTTCTGTTTTATGCCCCTTCTCTATTACGTCCCTTTTCCTATCACTTCCCCTCCAACAAGCCCCTTTCTATCAGGCTCCATCTCTTATAAGCCCCCTTTTATTAAGCCACCTCTAACAATTCCCACTTTCTAATATGCCCTATCTAGGAATAGAGCACTAGGTTTCCCCTTCAAACACTTTCTTAAACAAACGTTTTACAGTATTAGTTAATCTTAGATCTTTCAGGATTCATTTTGTCTTAACCCTTTACACCCTGACATCAGTATGCAAATTCTCTATACTGTTCTCTCTACATTTCCTGATGTGCTGACAAGGAGAATTTGTTTAACAATCAAGAGGTTCTTCAGTTGATTATCATTTCCTTTATTCTCATGACATTAATGTTGGATTTAGGGGTGACATTGAAAGGAGAAATTAGATGCTAATCACTCTAAGGGATAAAAGAGCCGGTTTAGCAGGAGTGGGGGAGTAAGATTTCAGATAGGGTGATCACACCTCAGGGTGAGGGCTAGAGCACTGTAAAGAGGATGACATGGTCGAAATCTAACTGTAACTGGTAACACATGCTTACCTCCTTTCTTGCTTGAGAGGTTTCACTGTCATTGAGATAACTTTTCTGTCTTTTCATTAAATAGCGATAGTAAACCATAAAACTTGCTTTCAGTCCAGAACAAAGGACTGTGATAACCAAGGAAAATGTGATGATGATTACTTTAATAACATCATGCCAGACTTCACCTGCATCCACGAAAATTAGTTTATCAGGGCAGGTTGGATTGCAGTGTGCACCAATGCAGCTGTCAATCACCTTGAAGGTGGTATTACTGGATTTCACCCAGGTAGATAGGAAATCTTGAATGCTGATGCTGGAAGTCCCATTTGTAATTTTTGTTGATGACCAAGTTCCACTTTTAACTCTATGACTATGAAGGAAAAAGGAAAACTATTTTGTCACAATAGATACAGGCTAAAAAGAACCTGTTATGTTGACAATATCCCATTAAATGAAATGTCTCCCACAAGTAAATTAAGCAAAGTTAAAGAGAAATTCTTAGTGCCCCAAAGGAGATGATACTCATCTGCTGTTGCACCAGCCCCTCTTCCCCACCCACGAGGACATTTTTCCACCCTTACATCCGGGTATTTATTTGTACTCATGAACAGAAGGACTTTGCACATGAGAACCACACACTTTCAAAGGAGGGTATACACCAAACATGAACGGACTCGTCCTTTTTATGGGCTAAGGGAGTGGGGTTAGGCCAAAAATTCCCCTAAGGCAGCGATTGGAATATTTTTCTCTTCATCAAGGTGTTTTGAGCTATCGAGATCCCTATTTTGTTCTGCTTTAACTTTTTTTCCTTTTTCAATCGATTTGCATTTCTTTTTATAGCACTGTCTGTACCGGAAGGTAGTGCATTCAAGTATTTTATCCATGATAATCCGACGTGTGTGAAAGGTCACCTGATAACAGGAAGGAACAGAGATATTTACTTCATTTGGGTTTGGAGTACCTCCAAACTTGTCGCAAGCACGAAAAATTAATTTCAATTAATTTATTTTACCTGAATTTTCCATTGTCTCGGGTAACTTCTACCAAAGGTTGTAAAACGCTGTCTTTGTCCCAAAGACTTGACGTACTCAAATAAGTGTGTTGAAAACAAGCCGGGACAAAAAAACTAACACGACGCCTTTGAGGAATTTCAAGTGACTCATTCATGGCTCCGCCATACATGCTTACTGCAGATAAAAAATCTGCTACGTGATTTTCGGCTGTCTTTCCCTGACTTTCAAGCCTTTTAAGCACGTCCGCAAACATATAAATGTCGTACAAACTAAAAACAAACGCCATTTGCATTGCGGTCGAAATGTGGTGTGTAAGGAGACACGACGCTGATAGGCAACATGCGTAACCATATCGCATATCTGCACATGCAGCCGACGAAATGTTCGTTAATTTGCCAAATTCAGAGTTCACTCTGGATTTAAAGCCATCTTGGAAGTTTATAAACCATGCTGAGTCTATTATGAAAAGAAATCTGGGCTTCGATGATAAGTTACTGGTAAAGTTTGTTGTAAGCCAATTTGCGTGATTTAAAACTCCTATCCCTCCGGCACTACTTCCCGAAACCACGATCTCTTCTGAAGATGAAATGTTGTAGTTCTTGTGTAAATCTTTGAATACTGAACGAAAAATCGTATGGCCTTTAAAACTGAAGTTATCTACGGACGGATCACTCACGAAATCAAAGGATCCGTTCCGGTTAGTTGATTTTTTACCAAGCCACAGGTCACTGCTACAATAAGGGACCAGCACATGATTATAGTTGTAGAAAGTCGGATTTTCACTTTTTGAAGAAGACAAGATATCTCTTCCGATTACTTTTTCGGGCAGATACTTCGAAGACATTAACACAGTCGAATTCTTGTTCAAATATCGCTTGTTGCAGTCTGCCTTCGACGAACAAAGACCCCCGCTCTCAAAGAAAATAATCCAGTTATGAGTCCGTCGTTGTCCGATGTAGAACACCGCACGCGAATTGTCGTTGCAGACTGCATCTTGAGTGCTAATAATCGTCTTTTGTAATTGACCCAGCGTCTTGACTCTGTGAACAATTTGAAGGATAGAAACTGCAACGAGTACATATTTCCATGACATTTCCGTAGAGCTGTTGCTTGAAGCAGTGAAAAATAAAACTTGTAATTACGCGCGCGACATCGGAATCTAACACGTTCAACCAGTCTTGACAGAACATCAGGAAATGTCATACTAAAAACAAACATACTTCTGTCACGCAATGTAACAACTTTGAGTCACGTAATTCAGACTAAGAACAAAAATAACATTCCAGAATGGATGAGAAGATTTTAAGAAAGTTACGAGGAATTGTCTAGATATTTCTTTAACGTTAATTGTGAACAATAATCGATAAGTAAAATATTCCTGAATAATAATTGCAAGCATGTTGTATGTTTACTAAATGAGACCGGGAAACTTATATTGATAATCTTGTTTCATGAAGGAATGAATCACGGGGACACTTCTCTTTTTGTATTTAAAAATACAATCTTATCTCAGTAATCTTATCCTGATAATCCTCAGACCCTCATATCCTTTCCAGTTCTTTCATTTTAGCACACACCGTGAAAGACTGGTGTGGAGATAGTCTTTCTCGTTCCCAGTTTTCGGCCGTGAAGTCAAAATGGCAGAAGATTGTGCAGAGGAAATTCGTGGTGTTTAAAATCGCAAGAAGTTATAAGCTGTCAGAAAGCAGTGTCTGATTCAACAATGGCTGATTCAGCTTCAAACAATTCCAGTGATTCTACTTGCTCTTCATGTGCAAAAATGAAAGAGGTTTGTTGGGTCTTTTTCTAAAAATAATTGTTCCAGACCCTTAAAACGTCCAAACTACGTCTTGTTTCTTGTTTAGTTTACAAATATGAGGTTCTCACTTAAAGGACACAAGTTGTGTTTTTTACGGTTTTCCGATTGATTCTGACAATGCTAAGAACGGTCCACGAAGGTTGACGTTGTTTTATTACGCTTTCATTGATTATGAATGTTCGGTTTTCATGTACATGTGCTTTGCTGCAAGAAGAGAGCTGAGTACACTGACAAGCTTCATTATTATGCATGTTCCTTTTATCCTGTTAAATCACAGTGTCCTCAATCAGTCATGTAAAAATAACCATAATCTCCATAATCTTTCTTTGTCGCAATGTTAATATGAGTAATGTTAAGACTTTGTGGGACAACCACTCCGGAAAAAAGTGTGTGTATGTTCTAGCTATACATACACGTGCACTTCTCATGTACAAGTGGTTTGAGCTTCTAAGAAGAACTAAATAAATTTCATAATTAGTACCTTTTGGTCAATTTTTTGGGCAGTTAGGGCACTAATGATCATGGCTACCTGTGGTTTCTTTCAGGTGCTTGAGGCCACTAAGAAAGAACATGCACTGACACTAAGAATGATCAAAGAAAAGATTATTTCAACAGAGTAAGTTAAATTTTACCTGTTATTAAAAAGATTAACCCAGGTGTCTGTGTTGACAAGACAGTGAGATTAACCACTGAATCAAAGATTTTTTGATTTGTGTATATTTCTCTCCCTTTATGAAAACACATTTCAGTGTACTGTTTTGCAATGTGAGAACTTTAGTCCACAGATAGTTAGCTTTATTTTGTATTTTCTGTTGTCTTTGTCCATATTTGTTTATTTTATGCCCTTGACCTAAAGACGATTTTAACTCTTATATTACATGTACTGTAGCCAGCCCTTAAATTTTTATTGCTTTCTTTTTTCTCTTGGCACAATATTTTGAACTCTACTCCATTTTGAATCAGAGGTTAAGGTATTTGCTTAAGTCACTTATTTTCTTAAGTTGTTTAAGTCTGAGCAGCTCCTCTTTAGAGGTAACAGCCTTGAGGTTAGTTTTCACTGGAGACAGAGTCATAGTCGGAGTCACTGGAGCACTTTCAACCTTGTGTTAATCGCAAATCAGGTTGTAAGCAGAGTCAAAATATAGACAAAATCAGAGTCAGAAGAAAAAAACAATTTCAATTTTTTCCCAAATTAACTAGTTTCTCATTATTTTTGCTATCATAGTGAGCTTATCAAGAAGTATCAAGAGAAATGCTTGGGTATCCTTTCAATGTTTTCTTGAAGATAAATACAATGTATTTAGTTTTGTTTGTTTACTTGTTTATTGCAAAACTTTGAAATTGACTAGTGTCCATATCATTCCCTCTCTTTGCTGATCAATCATAACCATTACAATTTCCTCAAATGTGATTGGTGCATTACCTGCTTTATTTTTCACTAATCATTCTGTGCAGTTGTTATCGAACAGTGTAATCCAACAGTTGGCTGTAATGGGATACCTGTTATTGGACAGTTGAAGCAGCCAATCATAATCAGTCCTTTCAGCCAAATCCACTGACCACAGAATTGATCACAATAACCATAGCAACAACCACTTATCCTAAGAAAACAATGGCATTTCCATAATTGAGGAATTTTTTACCAAGACAATGTTTCTACAAGAAATATTTGTCCTAAATGTTTTTTTCTGTTTTCAGAAATTGCAATGGATATGATTTATTGGTAACAGGACTTTGTGTTGTCCAATTCTGTTTGTAATCATACTGTACTTGTGATTGACAAATCAGACTTCTGCTTTGCAGTTGACTGATTTTGTTAATTGCTTGTATGATTATGGACTGAATTGGATTTCACTTGGTCCTATTACCAGAATTAATTTAAAAGTACGTCAAATTATTGAACCAGGTATTACACAATGTTGGATAATTGGGGTATCCAGACCCTCTCCAACCAGGCAACAGGGATGTTGTGCTACTCCTCAGATGGCAAAATTTTTTAAACTACAGGATAGCATTTAATATACTGTGTCCTTCAAAATTCTCTTGTCTTGAAGTATTTCTTAGCTTATTTTGGCTGTAGTTGAAAAACAAAATGTGTTTTGTGAAGCAGGAGTTTTAAACCCCCTCCCCCCCATCAAAAATTTCTGGATCAGTTCCAACTAAAATTTAGTGCTTGGTGCTCAGAGCACCTTTAAATGGTACTCTATGAGTTAGAATTCTTAAGTGTAATTATTTTTCCCTTCAGAATATGGAAAACTTAGGAATGTGCAACAAAACCATGACTACATGTAAAACTCTGAAAGATTCTGTACGGTATAAGTTCTGTGTAGTCTACTGAATACTTGGTAGTGAAGACCTTTTGGATTGCATATACTTGTCTCTAGAAATATTTACTTACAAGTTAATGAAGTTCTCTTTTGAAGTGAGTCCTTGACCAGTTGTAGAATCTGATAAACATCTTCAACAAGCCACTGACTTCACACTGAAACTGGAAGCAGCTCAGATGTAAGACAATTTGAAATGATGCAATCATGCAATCGCCGTTGTATATAAGATTGTCTGGAGTTAGGTTTTAAAAGCCAAAACTACTTCAATTTAAATTAAATGCTGGTGATGGATTTTTTTTTAAAGTAAAATGATTTGATATGGAAATTGATTTTAAGAAAAATTGTTTGATGCAAGGGTAGTGCAGGACATCATAAGATGTACATGCACACTTTTAAGACTCAACACCTTTGGTATTATTTTTAAAATATGTCATTTTCATATTTAGAAATGTATTAATAGTTATTAGTATTGTAAGCCCTTGTTGGGAGATAAGAAATTAATTGATTGTGTTGTATGACATAAATTTTCTGTATGCCAAAAAGGAATATTTGCTTAAGTTTAAGCATTTTTAAAATTGCTGGAAAGTAAATGTTCAGCCATCTTTAGTCTTTAAATTCTAACTATATCTGGAATTGTAGTATTTATTGTAATTTTGTGCTATGACTACAGGAAAATTGAAACTTTGCAAGGCCAGCTGGACAGGGCACTACATTCCAGTGAACCTCTGAGGAAGGTACCTATCTTGTTGAAGTTGATGTTGTTGGTGGTGGCTCTTTTCACTGTTTTTCAACAGTGTGGCAAACATGGGGCTTATGATAACTAATTTAAGAGTGTGCTGAATGATCTGACTTGAATGTCAATTGAACACCCAGTCCCATGCCCTAGGGGTCAAATTTGATGATGGGGTTACAAGGATTTTTGAAATGTTTTGAAGTATGACTCACACTTGGCAAAAGTAAATGATTGTGAAAAGTTCAGTAAGGGCCAAAAGGTCATTATTTTGATCAGAGTAACCAGCAGCATATTATCAAGTAGCCAGCAGAACTCTGGCTGTCACTGGCCTGTTTTGAAATTCCTGTGGTCGGAGTTGGTTGATTTGATATTGTAACACCATCCCTGCCTGCCATTTTGGTTGCGTTACACATAACGTGATGTTACTGATTACATATACAGAACCTTTTTTTTTTTGAGCTCCACAAGTAGCAGAATGTTAATAGAATCCTACCAAGTGTATGGCTTTGCTTGGAGCCAGAGTTTTTTGTTCAGAACCCCATGTTACCTTACAGTCCTTGATGGTCTTGTGTTGTCCTAGGTTTAGGTCAGACTGATTTTCAAATCTGTAGTATAATTTTGATGCAGATCTTATACCTTACAAGTTGGATTATATTTAGAAGTATGGTTTTTTCAACATCAGTTACCTCGCACCCCTTTCCACCCTGAATGGTAGTTGCTATGGATATGCTCATGTAGACATTCATTTGTTTACTTCTTGTCAATCTGTTTTAAATCTTCTGGAACAAATATGATAAAAAGATTGGTAATAATTTGTAGGATCCACATACTTTTTCAAAATCACCCAGCAGGACCCTTTCCGAAATCATGGATTACCTCAAAGAAATTCAAGCCATTCTTCCCCCTTCTACTTTTCATTTTATCATAAATCATCATTTACCTAACTTAAAAATATTTTACCTTGTTTCAATTTAAGTTGGAAGTGCTCTTGTTTATTTCAGAATGTAGCACGACTGCACAGGGAAAAGTCTTTAGCTGATTCAACCATTGCAGAGTTACAAGAAAAGCTACAGACATTTGAGGTACTCCACCAATGGGATTATATAAGTACATTCTTTTCAATGGTTTAACTCATAATATGCACAGTTATTTTGCAATTTGCATAGTATTTTTCCAAGCCCCGAAGGGTAAAGGAAAAATAAAAACAATGAGGAAAATGTCCATGCTTATTATATA